GGATAAATATAGAGGCCGTTAGGTGGCCTAGTGGCAAGAAGCTGAGCTGCAATCCCACAGGCAGGGGGTTTGCAGGCATCAGCTGTTCTGTGGGAGAAGGATGGGCAATCTCCTCCTTTGCAATTAGCTGCCTCTGAAAACCCACTAGAGGGTCAGCTATGGGTCCAATTCCAACTCTACAGTACACAACAACATACTGAATGAAAGGGGAGCTCTGGTGGCCTAGTGGTAAGAATCTGTGCTGCAATCACCAGACGCTTCACGGGAGAAGAATGGGCAGTCTCCTCCTGTGCAATTAACTGTCTCTGAAAACCTCTGGAGAGTCAGCTATGGGTCGATTCCAAATTGATGATACACAACAACAACATGCTGAGTGAGAGAAGTCGGTCATAAAACTTCAAATAAAAGCCATGATTATAAGAATACAAAGAAAAGTTTACACTTGGGATGATTCATCTTAGAAACCTAGTATATTATGGGTCTGCAGACGGGAAGGGAGTGAGAGAGTATAAAATTAATTAGTAGATAATTGTATTGGGAAAATCTACTATCAGGGACCTCACTGCAGTACTGAAGAGCAACGATGTCAGCCTAGAGACTGAGATGCACCTGAGACAAGCCATGTTGCTGTTGTTATGCTCCATCAAGTTGCCTTTGACTCATAGTAATGGTACACACAATAGCTCTGAACTCTGTCCTATCCTGAACCAATCCCACTCTCTCCAACACATGCACCCCTATTACCCCAGTCACTGTGTCAATCCATCTCATCCAGGGTCTTCCTCTTTTGCATTGTCCCTCCACCCTTCCAAGCATGATGTTCTTCTCCAAGGACTAGTCTCTCCTGGCAACATGCCCAAAGTATGTGAGATGGAGCTTCAAAATCCTTGCCTCCAGAGAGCAAGTTGATTTTTTATTTTACCCTTTCCAGAATAGACCTGTTTGTTCTCTTGGCAGTCCATGGTATGTTCAGTACTCTTCTGCAGCACCACAGCTCAAAGACATAAAATCTTCTTCTGTCATTCTTAGTCATTGTCCAGCTAACTGATGCATAGCAAGTAATTGTGAAAACCATGGCCTGCATCAGGCACATGTTAGTCTCTAGACTGACATTTTTGCTCTTCAGTACTCTGGAGAGGTCCCTGATAGCAGACTTTCCTAATGTGATTTTTTTTTTATTTCCTGCCTGGCTGATGGTTCTGAGAGTGTTGAATTTGGACCCAAGTAATCTGAAATTGTTGACAATCTCAATCTCTTCTCCATCTATCATGACACTGCCAATTGGCCCAATGGTGAGAATATTTTTCTTCTTGATTTTGAGCTTCAGTCCATATTGAAGACTACAGTCCTTGACCTTCTACAGCAAGTGCTTCAAGTCCTTCTCAGTTTCAGCAAGCAAGGTTGTGTTATCTGCATAATGCAGGTTGTTGATAAGTCTTCCTCCAATTCTGATGCCTCATAAAGACCAGTCTTCTGAATGATCTGTTCTGTATATAGACTGAAAAAGTTTTGAGACAGGATGCATCGCTGACACACTCCTTTCCTGATTTTGAACCATGGAGTGTTTCCTTGGTCTGTTCTGACTACTGCCTCCTTGTCCAAGTATAGGTTTTGCTTGAATACAATCAGAGTTTCTGGGTTTTCCATTATTTTTCAAGATTAGCCACAACTTGTTGTGATCCACTAAGTCAAATGCTTTTGCATAGTCAATTAAACACGGATAGACATCCTTCTGGTACACTCTGCTTTCAGCCAAGATCCATCTGACATTGGTATCCCTAATGTCATGGCCTCTTCTAAACACAGACTATACTTCCGGTAGTTCTCTGTTGATATAATGTTCCAGATGTTTAGGGATAATCTTTTTTTTATTTCTTTTTTTTTTTTTTGGCTGAGTACAGTAAAATTTATTGATGGTACATGACAAAATGTCCTCTCCAAGCCTTTCTCAGGTGAATTTGATGGAAACTTGTGTCAAGGATATGAGATTCTCAGTGTGTGGGAGGATCAAGTTGGGGCAGGGACTCCCCAGCAGCTGAGGGTCTCTATCTCTCTCTTCTAGTGCTATTGCTGGGGCTGGTGGTCCAAAGGGATCTTATTCTTTGGAAGCCATGTGAACCATCAGGTCGACCACCCGGTTGCTGTAGCCAAATTCATTGTCATACCAGGAAATGAGCTTGACAAAGTGGTCATTCAGGGCAATGCCAGCCCCAGCATCAAAGGTGGAAGAGTGGGTTTCACTATTAAAGTCACAGGAGACAACCTGGTCTTCAGTGTATCCAAGCATGCCCTTGAGGGGCCCTTCTGATGCCTGCTTTACTACTTTCTTAATGTCATCATATTTGGCAACTTTCTCCAGATGGCAGGTCAGGTCCACAACTGACACATTGGGGGTGGGGACACGGAAAGCCATGCCGCTAAGTTTCCCATTCAGTTCAGGGATGACCTTGCCCATGGCCTTGGCATTGCCAGTAGATGCAGGGATGGTGTTCTGGGCAGCTCCATGGCCAACACTTTCCAGAGGGGCCATCCACAGTCTTTTGGGTGGTAGTAATGGCATGGACTGTGGTCACAAGTCCTTCTACAATGTCGAAGTTGTCATGGATGACCTTGGCCAGGGGAGCCAAGTAGCTCATGGTGCAGGAGGCATTGCTGACAATTTTGAGAGAGTTGTGATACTTTTCATGGTTCATGCCCATCACAAACATGGGGGCATCAGCAGAAGGAGCAGAGATGATCACCTGTTTGGCACCACCCTTCAAGTGAGCCCCAGCCTTCTCCAAGGTTGTGAAGACACCAGTGGACTCCACAACATACTCAGCACCAGCATCACCCCACGTGATGTTGGCAGGATCTCGCTCCTGGAAGATAGTGATGGCTTTCCCAATGATGACCAGCTTCCCATTCTCAGCCTTGACAGTGCCGTTGAACTTGCCATGAGTGGAATCATATTGGAACATAGAGTCCATATAGTTGAGGTCAATGAAGGGATCATTGATGGCGACAACATCCACTTTGCCAGAGTGAAAAGCAGCCCTGGTGACCAGGCGCCCAATGCGGCCAAATCTGTTTACTCCGAGCTTCACCATCGTGTCTCAGTGATGCGGCTGAGGCTACTGTAAGGTATAACTCCTCATACAGGAAGCTGCCCTGCTGATCCAAAGGCTGCATATCTCCTGAGGTTCAAATCTACGATGGCTGGGTTCCTTCCTCTAACAGATGCTGTAGGTATCCTTTTGTATCCTTCTTTGAAGTAGGCTCACTCCAGTTGCCCACATTAGTGACTTGCTTGATGTTGTTGTTGTTATGTGCCATCGAGTCGTTTGCGACTCACCTGGGATAATCTTCAGAGAGATTTTGCTTGCATGTGATATAGTTAAAGAATTTCTGTCGGATCATCCCTTTTTGGAATGGGAATAAATATGTATCCCTTCAAGTCAGCTGGCCAAGTAGCTGTCCTTCAAATTTATTGGCACAACTTGGTGAGCACATCCAGGGCAGCATCTGTTTGCTGAAATATATCTATTAGTATGCCATCAATTTCTGGGGCCTTGGTTTTGGTCAATTACTTCAGAGAAGCTTGAATTTCCTCCTTCATCACCATTATCCAAGCCATGGTCTTTTCAGTTATTTGCTATACATCAAAGAGCTGGACAATGAATAAAAATCTAGAAGAAGAATCAATGTCTTTAAGTTGTAGTGCTGGAGAACAGTATTGAACAGACCATGGGCTGCTAGGAGAACAAACAAATCTGTCCCTAGAGAGGATTAAATCAGGCTGTTTCTTGGAAGCAAGGATTTTGATGTTCCTTCCTACATACCGGGCATGTTGCCCGGAGGGACCAGTCCTTGGAGAAAGTTATCATACTTGGAAAGGCGGAGGGACAGTACAAGAGTGGAGGACACTGGATGAGATTGTGTCAGAGACAATGAAATTGGCTCACGATAGAGCATGGTTCAGAGCTGTTGTGTATAGGGTTGCTATGAGTCACAAGTGACTAGACGGCACATAAAAATAACAACAAATACCTATTAAGATGAGTGGCATCTTAGAAAGGGTATGGCCAGGGTGCTCTTTGGAGACAAGGATGACAAGGCCCATCTCTCATACTTTGGATATGTTGCTAGGAGAGGCGATTCCTTGTAAAAGGATATCATGCTTAAGATAGTCATCTCTGGCCATCAAAAGAGAGCAAAACCCTCAGTGAGATAGACTGACACAGTGACTGCAGCAGTGGGCGCAAGTGTGTCAGAGATGGTGAGGATGGCCCAGGATAAAACAGGATTTAGGTCTGTTTTTCATAGAGCCGCTATGAGTCATGCTCTACTCACCAGCACCTAACAACAACAGCAACAATATAAGTGAAAGGAGAGATAATATCAAATGGATGGGTGATGAGACTCTGTGGGCATGTTATAGAAAAAAATGTGCATGAATGGTTGACTGAAAAAGCAATAAGCTCTGTAAACTTTCGCCAATTCACAATAAAAATAAATTAGATAATAAGTTGTACAATCAGACGAAATAATGGTTAACGTGTCTGTGTTACTGGGGTGGGGGGTCCACAAAACTCACTTCCCATCATGTCTTTAAGTGATTTATTTAGAGCTTGTATCCCCCAAAGAGAAGAGAACAGGCCATCGGACCAGAGATTGCTCAAGCTTCAGGGGTCTTTCTAGGTCCTCTCATCCAACACCCCCATTTTAGAGGGACCCGGGGAGGTCATGTGCCTTAGCTAAGGCCATTACAAAGTTGTCCTGAAGTGGCTCCAGAACTTTCCATAAGTGTACACAGAAGAAGGCCTGGTTCCAGGCTGGGCATCTCAATCATGACAAGCCCCAGGGCTAGAGGTTCAGGCCCCCAAAATGAACCCCATGTCTCACTTTTACCTACTCTGACTGAAATACAGGAAGAAGTGGACCCGTGGAAGGATGTGGCCCACGTCTGTAGGAAGAACGAGTGGTAAAAGTGTTTTAAAAGAACTTTCTTCTTCCTACAGGTCCGCTATTCCCCTCAGAACTTCTCAGACAACATCAGGAAGGCTCTGGACATCCTCCATGCTGAGGTACGGGACCTGAACCACTGACTGAGCAACTCAGCTGTGGCCTCCTTTCTCGCTGTGGGCCCCAGACCTGACCTGGTTGCAGCTCTGGTTTCCTGCCGAAGCTGCAGCTCCCAGGCTGGTCACGGTTACCTGGAGGCCAGCACAGGCAGCTGCCAGTCACAGAATCAATGAGGAACAGGGCGCGGTGGGGACAGAGGAGGTGGGTGGGACTGGGCTGAAGGTGGCAAGCCTACCGGGTCAGTAGGAGGGGCAGGACTCGCCCCAACTGTGGGGCCTGGGTGCGTCTGGGGGTCTGATCATGCCTTTGCTCAGGTTCCTCGGACCTTCGTGAACCTTGTACTGGTGTTGGAGATTGTCAACCTGAGGGAGCTCTACCTTGAGAAAAAAGTCTACTGTCCAAGGTTAATCCTCAGGTGAGATGGAGGTCGCTGGACCTGATTCACAGAGGGCTGCGGGGTCATTAGCAGAAAGTGACTCTGTTTAGTTAGAAACCCCTAGAACAGAGCCTGAGGCAAGTGCTGAGACCTGAAAAGGTCTAACAGAGAGCACAGCTCACTGTTTCTGTGACCCCAGGATGGATGTCAGGTACAATGAGACCCCGAACCCTGCTCCTATTGTCCTGGCAGCCCCTTGATACCTTGGCCTCTCCAGAGAGTAAAGAATGGAATCAGCCAGCAAGGGCAGCCTCAGACCTCTCCTAGGACCTGCTTTGGGCTGTGTCCAGAGCATCCCCTCTGGGCAGCCACATCTCCAGGACAGAGGGACATCTGACTGGGATTCACACAGCCACAGTCATAGCCATTTGCTAGAGGACCAGGTGGTCGAATCAGTTAGCAGCACCCACGGCCAAGGATCTTTCCCAGAGAAGAGAAAAGCCTGCTTCTGGGGAGACCCCTGACAGATTTTCTTTGCCTCTAAGCCCCCAGTCACTCAAAGATGGCATCCCCAACCCTCCACATCTCTGTCACCCTCAGGAGTGGCTGAGGCTCCCACTTTCTCCAGTCACTGGGCCACCCGGGGGTTCAGCCCTACAGCCCACGCAGGAACATTTCCCTCAGCACCTTCCTGCTGGTCGTCCAGGCCTTTAGCCCATGATCCCACCCCACGTCCTGAGTCAGTGCTGTCTTCTCTCCACTCAGACCTCTGCGTTAGTCCTGAGCACATCTGTGGTGGTTATTCACCAGCCTCTCCCCCACAGCCTGTGGACCCCACAAATGAGGCAGTCTTCTGCTAGCACACGGCAGGCGCCCAGCAGCCCTTCGCTGAATGAATGATGACTAATTCACAAAGGCCAGATTTACTCTTGGAAATTAAGACATTATCTTGGCCGCTATCCTGTAGCTCCTAATCAAAGCTCTCCTGGGGACCCACAATACAGCCCCCCAGGAAAGAGCCCAGGCTGCAGCCCCTCAGGGAAGGCCCCAGGAGGCCGGGGCAGAAGGAGGGCGCCTGCGAGACACAAGACACATTCCTATTATCACAGCTGGTGTCAGGCCCGCTATTTCCCTGCTGCTGACTCATACCCTGGCTCCCACTTTCTCCAGTCACTGGGCCACCCGGGGGTTCAGTACATTCATTCAATTTCAGAGACACTCACACATTAAAAAAACCCAAAAACCCTGTCACTACTAACCATTAAAAGTAGGGACTCAGTGTTGGCATTTGCTATTTGTTTTCAGAACTGAAAGGAACAAAGCACTAATGTCAGGGTGAGAGGAGCTCAGGGTCACCTCGACCCCCACTGCTCTGTGCCTGCCCTCCCCTACCTCTCCTGAGTTCTGTCGCTCCTTGCTGGCGCTAAGTCTGCAAGGGAGCATCAGTACAATCACTTCATCCTCTAGGACCAAAAGACTCAGTTTACAAAATGACTTGTAATCAAAACTACAGACTGGACCTTAGTTTACTATAGAGGCAAAGAGCTCACGAAGACTGGTTTGTGCTCACATCAAAACCTAAAGGTTGGTGGTTCCATGCCACTCAGTGGTACTGTGGAAGAAAAGTCCTGGCAACTTGATTCCGTAAAGATCATAGCTAAGAAACCTCACGGAACAGTTCTACTCTGTAACATATGAAGTTGCCATGAGTTGGAATGAACACAGCAACAATCAACACCTTCGCTGCAGAGCCAGGCACACTTTTAAGTCCTCTTCCACGTTCAGCTCTCATGTGGCCTTGAGAAAGCTAACCACTCTTGTTTTCTCATTTTTAAAATGGAAAGAATGGCTGTGAGGCTTAAGCAGGTTAATTCCTATGACACTCTTAGCACAGCGTGGCAAAGCAGACATTCACTGTGTTTTAGCGGTTATTGTTATCATCACTATTATTAATTAAAAGTGGGTGTGCCTCCTTTACATAGCACTGGCCTCACACTGCCGTAAAGTAACTCAGCTCCTCAAAAGTCACGTCTGCAGATGTCACGAGAAATAATTACTTCACATTCAAGAGCATCTCCAGATACTGGAATTTTTCTTCAGCTTCATCCATATAGTCAGCCAGGTCCCTCATTAGCACAGATACCGACTCCTCTAAGAACTACATTCTGAGCCCCAGGCTAATATTTCTTCATTACACTAATTAGCTCAGAGGTTCTCTTGGGGTGGGGCATCTCTGCTTTGGCCTGCAGGTCTCTGTGTCCCTGTGTCCTGAAGTTTGATGATAACTCAACAGAACTTGCTGCCCTCATCGAAGTGAATAAAAAGTATCAGGTGAGCATACACAGGTACTATGGTGTGATGATCTTAGTTGTGGTGGGTCATTTTGCTCAGGTGATTTTGGTGTGTGTTTATCACTAACTACTATGCTGATATAGACGCCCATGAGGCAGCAGGGGCTGTGGTCAAATGTCCTGAATTCAAGCTAGAGAGACAACTGACCAAACATCCCTGAACCTCAGCACCCTGGACTCTGTGGAAACAAGCTTCCAGGCTCCCTGTGGAGAAATGCACTGTCCTGGGAAGGAAACTCGGGGTCTGACTAGATCCAGATGCTGACTGCTGCCCACTGGTGGGGTGACTTAGACAGGAAGGCTCGTGGAGCTTAATTCAGACCTGGGGATGTGACTCTAACTTGGAACAGCACCCTCCCAGGAGAGTCATCTAGATTATTTGCCGGGCTAGCTGGCTCTTTAATCAGTCTAGATTTCACCCACACATGATCATCCAGTCACTTGGGGAGGGATAGCAATGGTAACTTTTCCAATCCAGAGTGGTCTGCAAACAGCTTCCAGAGTGGAGCATCGAGCTCATGACTCCTTAGGATAGAACCACTTCCTTGCAGATCTTTTTGGTGGCAGATACACCTCCAGGTATATCAGAGGCTCAGAGAAATGAACCTTTTTACATCATTCTTTGATGCCAGGGCCAAGCCCTGTGGCTGCCTCCTCTGCTGTCTTTCTGTGAGCTGGCAATCTCTGTATCCATTGAAACTGTCTGTGCTGCCCCAGGAGAGAGAGGCAGCTGAGGTGATGGCCACTCGAGGACCATTTCAGTTGGAATTCTTGGGTGCAAAAGCTAAGCATTTACACAGTTTCTAGCTGGCATAAATAGATGTATTTATGGGGATGTTGTTATTGTGTGCCATCAAGTCAGAACTGACCTATAGCTCACCCTCTAGTGGGTTTTCAGAGGCAGTTTATCATATGTGAGGAGACTGCCCATCTTTCTCCCACAGAGCAGCAGGCGGATTTGAACTGTGTGCCTTTGGGTTGGCAGCACAACTCCTTACCATTAAGCCACCTCAGTGACACTTATAAGGGAGCCCATAGACTTTCTGGAAAGTCCTGTGAACCAAGGTCAGAGGCAAAGATCTCAGGAATCTTGGAATTCTAGGGAGCAGGCATCAAAATCACGGCAAAAAACTCATCTGTGAGAGCATGATGGAGCCCAGGTTTCTGGCCCTACCCACATAGACCTCCAGTGTCACTGCAGCTTCTAGGAATTTTCTACCACCTCAAAAAAATGTATTTTGTACCGGCCCTCCATCTTACTGTCACTACCTTCCAATCTCAAGCCCATTACCAGGGCAACAATTGAAAAAGTCTGAGCTGTGTATTCACAGCCTAGCTGCAGGGAAGCTGGGTAAATGAGCACTTATCTTTTTTCAGCTACCACAGTAATAGCGAGAAGCCCTGATGGTATAATAGTTAAGAGTAGTTGATTATTAACTGAAAGGTTGGCAGTTCAAACCTACCTAGAGAATTTTTAGGAAAAAAGGCTTGGTGATTTGCTCCTGTGAAGAGTTCAGCCTAGAAGACTCTGTGGAGCAGTTCTACTCTGTCTCATGAGGTTGTTATGGGTCAGAATGGTGTCATCGTCACCTAACAACAGCACAGTGGCAAGCAGGCTCTTCCTTGGAAACAGGGGCTTTTCAAACATAGGGAGTAGATTTAGGTGCTAGGCAGCCAAGGCAAATGAGAACTAGTCACTACCCCTGCCTTCGCTGGCTTTTCTAGAGCGGCCGGCTATGCCAGGTCTGATCTTGGTCTCCATGGAGATGTCCAGGGCAGCTCTAGTGTCCTGGGCATGCTCACAGCTCAGCCGTGCCTGGTCACCCTGCCCTCTCAGGATCTTCTCACTCCTGGTCTCCTGCAAACCCTGTGGTGCTCATCCCACTCTCTGGCGGCCGCAATGATTACTGTTAATAACCGCGGCCATCTATGGAGTACTTACAGTGTGCCAGGCACCGGGCATTCAATTTAATTTTTTTTTTCATTCTCGAAAGGTGTGTGATTCTACCCACTGTGAACCATGGGTAATCCCCAGAGTAACTAGTGTCATGGAAGGGGCTTCAGAGATGGTCCTGGCATCGTCCCACACCTCGCTTATAGATGAGAGGAGAGCTCAGAAAGGAAAAAAGGGCTTACTGGATATGATACAACTAGTTAGTAGTGCTAACTAGCTAGTTAGTAGTTTCTGCCACTTGAGACCATTTCTCTTCCCCTTCTCAATCTTTGTGCCTCACTTGGGCTCTGTCTTGGAGGAAACTGGCCTGAGCTGTCAGAGGGGAGGGGCGCCTGGCTTAGGGCCTAGTCCTGAGAATAGAAGGTGCAGTCCTCTGATTGATTACATGCATGGTCTCGGATACATGAGGCCGCCTTTGCTCTCTAGACTCTGCCCCCAAAATGGTGAGCAGTAAAATAACAGAGTTCAGTAGGAGTAAGAGCCAGAACTGGGTTTAGTGGTCTTCCTGGAACTGAGCCCCAGGGAAAGCTTGGACGAGAACAGTTCTAGTACCCTCCTGGAGAGATGAGAGCACCTCAAAAAGGCACATCCACGTGCGTGCATGTAGGCATGGTTCTATCTTGCTTGCATGAATTCTCTCTTTCTCTCACACACAGAGAGTATATATCTATACATGTGCATCCAGTGTTGTTGATTCATCTCTGATTAAGCGATTTGAGGCCAGAAATAAATTAAATGTAAGGATCTTTTCTTAGTCCTCTTACTTATTGTCATTGAGTCAGAACCTTCATTGAGCTGACCCTCTGTTGGGTTTTCCTAAACTGTACATTACACAGTGGGAGGCAACCCACCTTTCTCCCATGGAGTTGATGCCGGACTTGAGTTGCCAGAGACGGGGCACCTTTGAGTTTGTAGTGCCACTTCTTACGGACTAGGCCACCAGAGCTCTCTCTGGGTTATATAGTGCATTGACAACAGAAATAACTGTAAGTGGGTAGCTTTAACAAACAGACATTTCTTGGAAGCATTTGAATTCAGGCAGGGGGCTGGCTCTAGAGAAAGATGTTCTCTCTCTCTCTCTCTCTCTCTCTCTCTCTCTCTCTCTCTCTCTCCCTCTCCCTCTCCCTGGACTTCAGGAGAAGGTTATTGTTTCATTTTAGCTTCTGTTGCTTGGCAATCTTCATGTGGGGTGGCATTTCTCTACCCACATCTCTGCCTGCTTGCGCTCTTGTTTAATCTGCTTTTGATTGTAAAGGAGACTGATTTAGGGAGCTCTGGTGGCCCAGTGGGGGAGGAATCGTGCTGCTAACCCAAAGCCAGGTGGTTTGGATCCCCACCTGCCCTGAGGGAGAAAGATGGGTAATGCCCTCCCATAAGGCTGACAGAAAACCTGCTGGAGAGTCAGCTGTGTGTCAGCTCTGACTTGAAGGCAGTGAGTTTAAGACGACAGAAGAAGAATTGATGCTTTTGAGTTGTGGTGCTGGTAAAGAGCACTAATTATCCCGTGGGCTGCCAAGAGAACACACAAATACATCTTGGAGAGAGTGCAGCCAGGATGTCCCTAGAGGGAAGAGTGCTGACACTTCATGTCACACACTCTGGTCATGTTGTAAGGAGGGGCCAGTGCCTAGAAAAAGACATCACACTTGAAAAGGAGGTGGTCGATGAAGGCAGGGAAGACCTTCGATGATAGAACTGACACAGTGACGATAACCATGGGTTCTGGTGTGGCAGCTATGATGAGGATGGCACAGTGTCAGACAGGGCTCAGACCTGTGGTTTATATGGCCGTTGCAGACCTGATGACATCTAGAAATCAGCACTAATACTGCTCATTAACTTAGCAAAGAAACCCCATTCAGAAAGGGGATTTAACCACAGACCCATTTTGTAGGAGACCCAACCCAGTCCAAAGCAATTACCCAGAATGTCATTTAACAACATAAATAAATAAATAAAATGCCTTCTCTTGAAATTTTTTAATCAGAATTGCTTTAAGAGAAGGCAAGCTGGTAGACCTTCCTGTTTGCACAGCCTGGATTAAATACATGAAAATGAAGCAGGGGTTGGGGGCAAGAGATAAAAGCTAATGTCAAAAGTAATTAGCTGACTCCTGATCAGTTGACGTTTTGCTGAAAATTAATTTCACCAGAGGTCAGACTCAATTTAATTGTAGGATTGAGAACAGAACACACAAAGGCGGAGCAGAACAAGGCTGCTTTTTGTCACTCACACACACATCCTTGAAGCTACACACACGCACACACACACAGACACATCCTGGAAGCTCTGCAGCTGCCCTCAACCCTATGCACATTCCCTGGCCCCTCCCGTCTCCACGTCTGTGTCCTGACCCTGTCCCCTTCCTCCCTCAGGAGAAGACCTACCAGCTGGTCGAGAGTGGACGGTATGACACGAAGGACGATTTCACGGTGGTGATACAGCCATTCTTTGAAAAAGTGGACATGCCAAAGAACTCGGTAAATGGGACGCAGAGAGCACCCGCAGTGGCTTCTGAGCACCATCTGTGTTATCCCACATCTCCATAACTAACACCACCCCTTTTTTCTTCCCCATGACCAGGCGGGGCTGCCTGACAACACTTTCTTCGCCCCAGACTGCTTCCATTTCAGCAGCAAGGCTCACGCCCGAGCAGCCAGCGCCCTGTGGAACAACATGGTAGGAAGGCGAAGGGTGGACCTTTGAGGGACCTCTTACCATGTGCCTGAAGGTGTCCCCACAGCAGTGATGACAAGCCCCCTTTCTTTGTCCCTCTCTCCCTGATCCACCTCGACCTGTGCCCTGATCTTTCCATCTCTGCTGCCTCTTTCTCATTCCCATCTTTCTTCTTCTTGGTTTAGCTGCAACCTGTCGACAAGAAGACAGCGCAGCATAATTTTGAAAACAAGATCAATATCTCATGTCCAGACCAGGTAATGTGGAAAGCACGCCCTTGCCGCTCCGCCGTCTATAGCATCTTCTCCGGGTTTCTGCTCTCTTTAAGACCCTCAGCTCGTCCTAGCTGTGACCACCCACGGATGCCATCTGCTTGGGCTGAGGGATGGTGGCCCCAGTGAACTCAGGCCCTGGGGTACTTGTCACTGTCTTGGAATCATGAGAGCCCTGGCACAAGTCTGGGTTGGTTGCAGCTCTTTCAGGCCAGGGAGGCAAGCCTGATGGCAATCTCCTGCTTCATTTGGAAGGCTAGATGAGGTGGAAGTATACCCTGGCTTCATATAGCTGCTGCTTCCATAACTGTATGGAACAGAGACCTGGGGACAGACATTAACCAGCAGGGTGAAACAGAGCAAGGCCCTCATTTTCACTCACAAATTGTCAGACTATTAGAACTCTGTAGCCATTGTCCTCACTCCCAAAACTCCCCCTGTGTTCTCATAGGGACCCCAGGCATGCCCCTGCTCGCCGCCCTGCTGGGGTTTGTGTGGATGGGGCATGATCCCTCTGTGGGCTCAAGAAGGAGCTCACGGTACTGGGGAGGGGTGGGGGTGGGGAAGGCAGACACCAGACTGGGGATTGGAGCTATAGGCTTCCTCAATAGAAAGTGGTGCACCATGGGATGGAGTTGGGTGGAGAACCAGAGGTGACCCAGATGTCCCCAGTCTGCAGGCTGGGAGCAAAGAGGATATTTGCATGTTCTTAGAGAGCTCCATGTGGGCCCCAATCACTGAGAAGGCTCCAGTGCCCTGGAGGAGAGTATGGTGTCGGCTTGACCAGCCTAGTGGGAGGGTGCAACTTTGGGGCTCCAGGGCTGAGGGAGGTTGAGAGTGTACGGACCAAGGCTGCGTTTAATGACAGCTGGTGAGAGGGGGAGCAGTGCAGGATTCAAGCTGAACGTGTTGCTCTTGGCTTTCATCTTCTCACAGGTCTGGCCCTTCCTGAGCACATACAAGAACAGTGTGCAGGTACTGCAGGTGGCTTGCTGGGGAAATGGCCCAGAAGACAGGGTGGGAAAGTGGTCGGGAGTTCCTGACGGGCCAGGAAGAGAGGCTCCATGACAGAGACCATTCACCTGTGTTGCCCAGGCTGCATACGTAAGGCAGGGTAGAGAGCAGAGTAAGCTCCGTTGATAGCAGCCTGTGGAGCGAAGGGTCCAACCAGTCAAACCACAGCTCCATCGCTGACACAGTGAAGATAAGGATCTATACAAAGCAGGAAGGGCTGGGGAACAAACATTGGGGTGAGTGCCAGAGCCATGATTCTTGTATTGGAATGGTGCAGAGTCTGAACTAGATCCAACTTCAACCCGCTGATGCTCAAAATGAGAAGCCCTAAAAAAAAAAAATGAGAAGCCCTGATGGTGCAGTGGTTAAAGCACATGGCTTCTAACAGAGAGGTCAGTGCTTCAAATCTACCATGAGAGTAAAATGTGGCAGTCGTGCTTCTGACAAGATGTTACAATCTAGGAGTTCCTGTGGGCAGTTATGATTTTCCTGGAGTAAAGTCTGAGTAAACTCGATGGCAGCAAGAATTTTGGCTTTGAATATTTAACATTACCCAGGATTTTATTTAAAAAAAAAAAAAAAGCCCTCTCTAGATCCCTCCGCAGGGTAGGACTTTTTTTTTTTAAAGCTCCTTGGATAAGTCTGATGCACAGCCAGTCTTCCTGGCGCTGAGATGCTGGGTCTGATTCTCTGCCCACAGGGTCATGGGAGCATGCTGCTGTGCAGGGACAGAGCCCCTTCTGCCTCACCCCCCACCTCAGGTAAGCCACACCGGGACCAGGACCCTTTCACACCACGGAGTTCTTTGATAAGACTTTTAATGTGCAAACCAGAGAATGTACCTGTGCTTGTCTGGGGTGGTGACCTGGGACAAGCTGCCCTGTGGCAGTCAGGACCAGGAGCCGTGCAGCCCTCCTGACTCGGCCAGTTAGAGGGGACACAAGCTGGAGGCACTGCTGGAAGCCCTCCCATCAGTGGCCAGCCCCAGTGATGTGGCCTCACCAACCCCAGCAGTCCCAAGAGGAAGTGAGTTCTGGGGGCCACTTTTGTGGCCCAGGCTATGCAATCATAGTCAGGTACCCCCAATTCCCACTGAGCCTGAAAACACCACTGGTTGTTCCAGAAGAGACCTGGGGGCAGGGGAGGGCCTGACATGCTTATTCCTCAGATTCTTGGGGGCAGTCCAGAATCCAGCCAGCACGCTGCGCACCAGGCCATGCACTTCACCTCAGATGGTCCACTGCTCACCTGGCCCCTGCATTCAAGTCACAGCAGTGTCCTGCATCACTGCTGGGCACTGGAGTGATGGACCCCACTCTGCCCTTTTGGTTGAGGGGAAGTCCTTCCATGGCCACATTTTTTTATTTTCTCTCCAGCTATCTCCCCTCACTGCTCCTCATCTCTCTCAAGCCTTCTCTCCTTCTCCCCTTTTTTCAGGGTCCCTTTCTCCCCTCTGCAGGTCCAAGATTGTCTCTCTCACAGAGTGACATTGCCTTCATGCCACCCCTACTCCTGAGTGCTGACTCCTGCCTGACCCAAACCCGCATGTTGATTGAGTCGTGTTTCCATTGTTGCTCCAACAAGAAGTCCTTGACTCCAGCCTCGACCCCCTTCGCACAGACTCAAGGATGTCCTTTGTCTTTACAGTGCATGCCCTGAGACCTGCAGATATCCAAGTTGTGGCTGCTCTGGGAGATTCTCTCACTGTAAGGACCCTCGGGCTCTGGTCTGGGTGGAGATGCCTGGGCTGGCTTCCTGGGTCTGAGGCTAACTGGTGGACAGGCAGCTCCATCCGAATGGCTTCTCAAGCCTGTCACCTCTGTAGCATTTACGAAGGTCTTCTGGTTTGCCTTCTGCTACCAAAAAAACCATGATTTCTTCTGCTACCTTCTCCTTTTATTTCTTAAGCCAAATTGTTCTTTACAATAACAACCATAGAAAATGTGGAAGAAGTTGAAGTCAAGCAATTTCCTTATTGAGATTAGTCCTTTGCAGTTCTCAATGAATTCTCAGCAGTCAAGTACCCAAAGGTGTCATTGATCCAGCAGAGCTTTGTTGTTTTGTTATAGTTAATCTTTCAAAATTAATAGTAATCCTTTTGCGGAGTAGGGGTTGATCCTTACTAGGTGCTGGAATTCATGCATACATCATCCTTCCTCTTAAAAAAATCCCCCAAAACAAAAAAAGAAAACGCAAACTCATTGCTGGTGAATGAGAACCAACTCCTAGCTGATCCTCAACTGGGCTTCCAAGATCGTAAATTCCGCAGGAAGAGATTGTCCATCTTTCTCCTGATACTCCTCCTCTGGGGAACTTGAACCTTCAAAGACATGACCTCTGTGTTAGCGGTCTAACTCTCTTCTGCCTGTGCCCCCAGACCTCCCCTTATATGCTCAGCGCCCCCCCCCCCAAATGGTGTGAGATGGATAAAGAGATGGCATTTAGACAGACTGAGTTCTCCCCTCCCAGGTCTGGGATTATCTTTCTCCTTGGAAGGAGGCAGTTGAGACTCAAGTGAGTCGCAAGTTGAAGGGGCTAGTGTGAAAGCATGTGACTGGGGTGTGTGGGGGGGGGATCGCAGAAGGTCAGCCCCGCTCTTTGGACTGTGGGCCAGGGCTTGTTCATCCCACGATGAACTGCATCAGAGGCTACCTCTTTAAAGACCTGCATGTTAACAGCCTTTTGTCTTTTTGACTTGTTGATTTTCTGGTGGATTCTTGTGTTTTTAAAGGCTGGCAATGGAATTGGTTCCAAACCGGATGACCTTCCTGATGTCAACACACAGTATCGGGGACTATCTTATAGGTAACATTCACTTTTCCTCTGTGCCCCACCCCCACCCTACCATGCTCACCTACAGAGACTGGGGAGTGAGTGGGCTTGTCCCCTTAAAGCACATGAACACTAAAGAGCAAGGACTAGGCCTGAAAGGGGCTTTCAGAAGAAAATCCTTGACATTTAGCTGGGGAACAAGGGGTTAGTTTACTGCTGATAATCTCTCTCTGCAGCCCCCCCTTCCAATTATGCAAAGAAAGTAAACCAGGGTTCATACCAGACTCCTGGCTCAACAAATCCAACACAAAATGCACCTGAAAAGCACCAAATCTCTGAGCCTTCAGCTGCCCTCTTGCATGTGTGTTTATGTGCGTGTGCCTATGTAGATACCCTCACGGCTCTGTTTACTACTGTCTTAGATGCATTCGTTCACGCTGTTCTACGTTTACAACTCCACTCGTGCACACACGTGCACGCCTGCCCAGAGACCCTCTGCAGCCCACCACACACTTCAGAAGAAATAAAGTCCCCGCCCACAGGCACCGCTGAGCCCGCCCTGTGGGCCAACACAGCGTGGGTGGGTTACAGAACGTGAAAAGCACAGGCAAGTCCTGGCGCTCGGTTGCCAAGTGCTGTTTCAAAACAAGATACCCAAGTGCTGTGGGAACGTAGAAGAGGGTGTAGCCAACGGCCGCCACAGGCATGGAAGGCTGCACAGAGAAGGTGGCACCTGGGCTGTGTCTTGAAAGACTAGCAATTAGTTGGGTGGAAAGAATGAGAGAGCTTTCCAGACACAAGTGCAAAAGCTCAGGACGTGTGAGGTTGAGGGAGCTGGGTGTGAGTATCCTCCAATTTCTTTCTTTTCTAATAAAGTTCATGTTCATGAATGCTTCAAAGCAATTGGTGGTTGGCTCCGAATCCATTTGTTACCTAGGAAAACAACTCGAAGAAAGCCAGCCACAAGAGGGCGCAATGCTAACGAGGCGGCACGCTTGCCTCTTCCCTTTTCTTCAAAGTGGATTCTAAGAAAATTGTATTCCCCGCCCAACCCTGCCAGAACGGAGAGGAGACAGCAGGGGATGGTCAGGATTGTTCTCAGGCCAAACTCGAGGAGCTGCACAGGCGATGGTTTGCGGGTGGGAAAGAGGTGACATCACTCAGCCTGTAGCCATCAGACTCCAGCGAGCCCTTGGCATGAAGTCATCACCCTGCTGAGAGCTGAGATAAATGCCTCCTCCAGACTCTGTGGTCATACAAATCGCTGGGTGTCCTCAGCCAAGTAGGTGGTCTCTATCAAGCTCCCTTGGAACAAAACGGAGCCTTGTTCCTGGCTGCTCGCTCAGGCCCAAACATTACTAAGGCTTCTAAGAAAAAGGCAAACCAGCAGAAGAGAAAGGAACCAGAGGTTTTTATAACAATCTAAAAAAAACATGACGTTGCATAGCAGCTGCACTTAGTCTTTGCAAACAAAAGCAATGACCTCACCTCGTAGTGTGGGAAAACAGAAAAGAAAGTGGACGCACCACTCACAGATGGCTGATAAGCTTCACATGGTGTGGCTGTGTGGCCGTCCAGGGAAGGAAGAGCAGCCCAGCTTCACCCACAGTGACGAGGCAGGCTCCCGGCACCCAGGCACGAGTGGGTCATTATTGCTAAACGCTTCTCTCTGCAGCAATTGAAAAATCCAATTGCTCCTGTTTCCTCTTATTAAGGCCTAATATTTACATCTTCTGACTCTGACTCCATGGCCTCATTTTCAACAGCTCCTGTCCCTTTAAACACTTTATCTGTCTTCAGTGTTAAAAAGACCTGTCCCAAGATCCATGCACATTAGAGATGAAAGCTCTAGACAAGAGCAACAGAGAGGCATTTTCACACTTTAGATAGAGTATCTACATTAGTATTTCCAAGGGTCACTGGCCCCCTCATGCTCCTGAAGAAGGGAAAATCCTTTGCATTTGGGTAACACCACCTACTATAGCCCCTCTCTGAGGAATTCTCAGTGCTTATTAGCCTTGTAAGACACTTAAGAGGTCAGAAATGGAAGAAATCTATTTGTGTTTATTTAACCCAGTGTTTCCTGTATTTACAGATCTCTTTTTTTCCCTTTTTTCGTAATATCCATTATTATCTCCTGTGAAATAATTGTATGGTAGATTTACCAGAGAAATGAAATTACTCAGATAAATTCAAGCTTCTAGATTAGAAAGCCCAGTCAAATAATGACTTCAAGGTAAAAAAAAAAAGTAAAGTGGGTATGGTTAGTTGTGAATATTTCCAGGTCCCCTCACTTGGTAAGAATCTTAAAACCAGTGAGAGGCTCCAGCTTCAACTAAACATTGTAACAGGTCTTCAGACAATTGCCTTTTCCACCATTGAATCAACTCTGCATGTTTGATACCAAAGGACCAAAATAAAATGCACTTTTTAAAGTTCTACTCTTTTGCCTTTTAGTTAGGAGGCCAATCTCATCTTACTAAAACATCTTCAGTGGATGTTTTAGCACATCTATCAAGAGGTGTGTCTTTGTGCACTGTGGCTGACAAGGAATAAGCAAAGCCTAGCCATTGTGCACATAGTGTAATAGAATTACATTCATCTGAAGCGCCTACTATAGGTCAGCTGTCTGGCATGGTCTTCTTTCATGTTTCACACGATCCTAATCAGAAAGGGGACTTAATAATTTTTCTCCCCCATATTTATTCTTACAAGCTTATTTCTCCACCAGATTTTCCCTTTAAGTTAGGAGTAGATATTGGTCTTGATCAGCCATCACCCTTGATTTTGTACAAATGTGTCTTTAGACGAGACATGACACCAGGAAGTGCTTCATGTATGTGTGTTTGCTTCTCTCTGTTTATTGAAGAGGAAAAGAACTTTTAATACAGTGATTGAAGGAGGTTTGTAAATTTACCATTTTCTCTCAAGTATAAAATATTTTGATTAAGTGTCTTTGGTCTAAAGGAAGAAAGATCCAGAAGTAGATAAAGTAGCAGCTTCATGCTACATTGAAGAAGGTTTGGGAGTTAAGACAAATTCTCAGCCATTGGCTGAATTATATACAAGCGTTTGAGGGACAGTCTGGGAGAGGTAACTGTGAGGTAGGAAGGCAGGCTTCACTGGGGCTTCTTTCTCTCCACTCCATGGGGGCTGCTTGTACGTAGAGCCCTTGATCATCTCCATATGATATACAGTTAATTTCATTCCAAGCGTTCCTTAAATGAAGAACAACTCTGCCTCCAACTGATGGCCTGGACTTTGAGAAGTCTCTCAAAGTTGATGGGCTAGATGCCAGGGGTATCTTCAAAATCTAGAGGGCTGCAAGAATGTGCTTGGGTTACAGAGGGAGACACAGAAGAAAACTACGAACACAATTTGTCCCAAATATTGGAATTTGTTTAACGGAAGCATATTTCTTTCCCTCCCTCCTGCATGGTAGGTAATTTCAGTGCATAAAAGGAAATGAAATCTTTAGAGTGTGCCTTGAGCTTAGATTGATCAGATTTGTTGACGTTAGATTGGGCAGTGAGAGGCCATGGCCTGTATTTGTTCATGGAATTGTACCTGGCCACTGGGCAAAGGAGATCTTCCCCATTTTCTGGAGGTTTCCAGCTCTAGCACTCTGGTTTTTCGGCCTTTAAGAAAAGTAATTGACACCTGTGCATTTATTCTCCTACTCTGTCAATGGAGAGAGAAAGAGAGAGAGAGAGAGAGAGAAACAGGGGTGGAAGAGGGGAGAACCAACAAGAACACCTGGTCAAGGGCTGGGCTTCCAGTGCCACATCAACTAGGGACTCTTCCTTCTGATTTAGGAGACCAGGCTCCGACTCCCTTTTGTCTTCAAATCTCGGATTTATAGAGACAGACATAGAGGACTTTGCGTATCCCTCTCCCTCCTCTAAAGATCCTTAAAATGCAAAGAGATTAATCTGCCACATCTTTTTGTCATAGACACTAAGAAAGACAGAGGTGCATTTGGGGTTTTTTTGTTTTGTTTTGTTTTTGTTATAATTTATAGCTTGAGGGGGAAAAAAACCCAAAGGTTTCTCAGTCTGCCTTTGACCAATATACAAGCGTTAATCAAGGGCTCCTCTTAAGGAAAATCAAACTGTTTTTCTAAGCTTGCCAATTTATTTATTTAGCACAATGCCTATAACCTTGACAAAATTCTGTACTCCAAGCCCGTGATTTTCACAAATTATAATTTTTCTACTTGCATTTGCCTTTTTAATTACATTTAATATCAATGGAATAATACAATATCAATCATAGGGACTTGAATGTTGTTTATTTTATAGGTTTATTATTATTATTAATGTTAATGAAAATTTACACACTTTGGATTTCCATTCATTCATTCATTGTTACACTTTCTCCCTGCCCACCCCCGCCCCCCCAGTTCCCTCTTCTCTTTGAAAAGTAAAAGAAAATTCTTTCATTGTTATACAATCCCTCCCCGAGGTCCACTCCACTATGTAGCCTTCCCTCGGGACTCCTGTCATGACAAAAACACCTAATCACATATCCCTTTTAAACAGTTTTCTCCCTCATCTGTTTCAATGCAGTATACATTATTGAACCCATCTTTCTCAGTCTCCTCTCACTCCCGATGTCAGTCCCGTTTTACAACAGTGGCACTACAGAGCTGCATTTTGTTAAGAGAATGTATTGATTCATTCTCTCTCTCTCTCTCCCCTCTCCCCACCTCCCCTGCCCCACCCTGGTGTTCTCACTCACTGCAGTTCAGGAGGGGACGGCTCCCTGAGGAATGTGACTACGTTGCCTAGTAAGTAACCACAGGGCCTTGAATCTGTCCTCTACTTCCTTCTGACCCCTAGACTTCACAAGAGTTCTTTCCAACTAAGAAACAAGCAAGTCATTTCTCCTTCATGAGCTACCATTTGAAGTAGGAAAAGAAGCCATGGATAGGTAGCCTGGGGTTGGGGTATAGAATAAATGCTGGACTTTGAGCCAGAAGACCTAGGTTTAAGCTTTACTCCCTATATGCTTGCCAGGTGACTAGTACTTGTTACCTAGTGTTCTGAACCTCAGATTTCCTCAACTGAAGAACATTTCCTCACCTACCCCAGAGAATTGCTAAGACAATAGGGTAGTATGCACCACACTGTGATTTGTAAGTGGCTGGGAGCAGGCAGGGAAGCAGAAGACCAGGGGATGTTGTGTTCTTGCTGTCTTACCTAAGTCACCCTCTAGTGACCAATCCTCAACTCATGGAGGGCTCCACATCCCTCCCTCTCCTGTAAGGGCTACAGAAGAATAAGATCTTTGGGGATCCAGGACCCCACAGGACCAGAGAAGATACACTAGCCTTCTGGCTTGAACGCTCTACAGACTCTTCACCCCCTTTTCTTCCAGACATCCTTTGGAAGTTTAACAACAATCTCACCGGCTATGCGCTGGGCATGGGAGACGCCAATGACACAAATGCATTTCTCAATCAGGCTGTTCCTGGAGCAAAAGCTGAGTACGACCTTTTGGATGGGGGCTCTGGGATGGCAAGAGGGAGGTACAGAAACCCCCTTCAAGATCATTGAACTGACTTCTGGGTGCAAAGGAAATATTCATCCATGAACAAGAATGGTTTGAGAAGGTCTCAGACCACTTCCTCACCTGGCCATGCCTCAGGCAGAAGCTAGTGGGACTAGGGAGATCGGAAGGAATGAAACCCCTGGAGGCTCAACTCCTAGCCTTGCTTATGTTGGAAGCAAGATCTAATAATTGTGCTTATTCACCAACCTAACCAGATTTTTAAAAATTATTATTATTTAATAGTATTAGAAAGATCCACTCTCCCCAGAGCCTCAAAAGTGGCAATTACCCAAAAGGTCAAAGGGATGGGACACACAGAATCTCCAAGGATAGTACATCCAGTCTCTTCCACTGTAATTGAACTAGCAATAAAGAGAGTAGAGAATCCCAGAACCAGCCAGTCTCCCTGCATGAGCTCCAGGGGGGCCCCCTCACCCTGCTCTGAGAGCACCTCCAGCCTGGCTCTCCTTGTCCCTCATGTGCCGTCTTCTTGCCCAGACTCACCACCCCCATCTGGTCAATGGGTATGCCCTTCAGGCCCATTCCCTCAGTCTGGGGGACTTCTGAGAAATAGAAACAGGGTAATAAAAATAGCAATAGAACAGATGATCCCACACCAGGTTCCCGAGACCCCACCTCAGCCCTGTAACAGGGCCTGAGCTGGTAGAGAATTGAAGCAACTGAAATCTAGTCCTCCATGGATTATAACTCAAACACATGTACCATATACACATATCTATTTTATTATGTCTCTTCCAAAAGAAGCATTTATATAAGATTAAAATATACATAATAAAACTCATAACCATTAGAGGGGGGAAAGAGGAAGCAATTACAGGCAAGGCGAGGGGAGTTAGGAATTAAAGGAAGTGTACTAAAACTTTCAAAAGTCTACTTTGAAGTTGTATGCAAGTCCTTCAGAAGAGGGTAATGGTTTGTTTCCTGGCACAGGAACAGAAAAGAAATTGTGTGTGTAGAATCTTAGAAAGGAAACTGGGAGCAGCAAAAAAGTATAACTCTCTTCATTACACCTTCAGAATGAACGCACAACGGGCTTTGCAAAGAGTGATTTGTTGCAATAATTCCCCAGAGGAGGCAAGCCCCAGCTCGTGGCTTCTCTCTTCTTGGAGCCTCAGGGTCTCAGACAGCTTGGCTCATGCATCCGGGGTGATTCCAGGGAGCCTCCAGTTGAGGTCTTTGGGACGAGAACCCTGGGCCAAGGTGCCTCCCAAAGACACTGATCTCCTCTCCTTCCCAGGGACCTCGCTCGCCAAGCCCAGACTCTGGTGCAGAGGATGAAAGAGGACAGTGTGAGTCAGATTTAAGTTTGCTTATGACAATTAGTTGTCTGCTTCCTTAGGCTTGTCCCCACATGGGATGGTCTGCAGGGAGAATCCTTGAGACAGTCAAACAGAGGCAGGACAACACCCTGTTGGAGACTCTCTGGAGATGATGTCATGGGGGGAGGGTTATTGCTGTGCTACTGACCTTGAAAGTCTCTCTGGATGCTAATTAAGGTTCTGTGAGCTATAAATAAACCTCTAAAATGAATTCAACTTGGAGTTCAGAGTCTAGTATCCCATATGGACAAGGAAGTTGTGGGGGTTGAGGCTTGGCTTATTTGTTTGTTGGAAATCATCAAACATTCTCCTCCTTCTGTGTAGAGAGTAAATTTCCACAAAGACTGGAAGGTCATCACTGTGCTGATCGGAGGGGGTGACCTCTGTGACTCCTGCACGGATTCGGTAAGGGGCACGGGGCTGGGCCAACTTCTTGCTCCTGGCTTGACGCAGTAGCCCTTGAAGATTCTGAGAGTAGTCCTGAGACCAGCCCTGTGTCGTCATTCCATAGCGTCGAGTTGGAACTGACCCCTTGTAAACCCTCCAGCAGGTTTTCAGAGGCAGTAAATTACACCAGAAGAGAGTGCCAATGGTTCTCCCACAGAGCAGCTGGTGGATTCGAACCACGTGCCTTTTGGTTGGCAGCACAACTTGTTATTACCACTAAGCCACCAGAGCTCCATATTGGCCTTAGAATTTGTCCAACTGCTTCTAAATGCGTGCGCGCACACACATACACACTTTGCCCCCGGTTGCTGGTTCCTCTTGCACGTCCCCCTTCGCGTCTGAGTGGTATAAAGTGGCATTTACACAGTGCTTCTACACCTCCCTCTTACATCAACTAAGAATCCGCAAAGAAGAAACTACAGGAGGCCAGAGGGAGACCAAGTCCTGGGGCTGGAGTCGGGAGGAAGCCTCTGCCCTACCACCGGCCTACCCTCACCAACTCTCCCCTATTCCCTTCCTTCTCTTCAGAATTTGTATTCAGCAGCCAAGTTTTTTGGCCATCTCCGCGACGCCTTGGACATCTTGCATAGAGAGGTGGGTGGGACTCTTCCTCCACAGCCTGGCATAGCTCAAGGGTGGCCAGGACTGGGGAAACGATGGTGGAAGCTGCCGCAGGAGAAAGCCAAGGCCAAGGGCACCTTCCAGTTTCAGGGCCTGAAAAATTACAGTCCAGAGGGATCTCAGGCTTCACTAGGGGAGACAGTGTGTGCTCTCACAGGTGCCCTCCCCAACCCAGGACGTTCCCTGGTTGGGAGTTCCTCGCCACTGGCCCCAGTCCGGGCACTGCATTCCAAGTCCTAGGGTGCAGCAAGGCTCTCTCTGCTCCTGCACTCAGAACGTGTACTCACTGTGTCCCTTGGCAAGGACACGGTGCTTCGGCTGCCCAGGAATGAGTGCTGGCAGCCAGGTCCTCCTCCAGTGGCTCAGTCCCCATTCCTCCTCAGCAGAGTCAGGTTAGACTGGGGGGAAGTGGTCAATGGCTAGATCAGCAAAGGCCAGGAAGACGCTCTGCCAGATACCCTGACGCGGTGACTGGAGCAATGAGTCTGAAAATATGAGGGATGGTGAGGCTGGAGCAGAACAAGGCAGGGGGCAGGTCAGCTGTTCTCAGCATTGCTCTGAGTTGTCGTCAACTCAATCATCTCACCAAATCTAAAGTGAGGGTGCTGGGCTAAGCGATAGCTTATATGAGCTGAACTGCAGCATTTAGGCTCCAGGCGCTGTCCCACTCCGGGCCGTGCCATTGGCTGCAGCCCCTGAGGGTGACATCCGTGGAGTTGTGAGGTGTTCCGCCTGTAGGTAGCCCTGTGTGGATTCCTCCCCATAACCCCAGTCGAGGGATCACGGAGCTGAAGTTGTAAAGGGGCCCACTCTCCAGCTTCTCCTTTTCAGGGTACTGAAGCAGCTTGAATAATCAGCTCCTGGAACCCCTGTCTCATCTGTGGCCTTGCCCTTAGGTGCCCAGAGCCCTGGTCAATCTTGTGGACTTCATGAACCCCACTGTCATGCGGCAGGTGTTCTTGGGGAACCCAGACAAGTGCCCAGTGCAGCAGGCCAGGTAGGCCGGTGTTCTGCCCTAGGGGGGCAAGGCCCCTTCCCCCCACGGTGTGGCTCACACGCAGCAGTGATCCCTCGGGGTCTTCATGTCTTGTCCATCCATGTGTCCAAGCTGTTAGAAAAGGGTCAGGGAAGGAAAAGAATTTGCAAGGTGAACAGACACAGTGGCTGTGACAGTGATGGGTTCAGGCGCAGCTGAGATTGAGGACTGCGCAGGATGAGACAGGAGTTTTGATCTGGTGTACGCAGGGCCGCTGTGAGCTCACGTCACCTTGACAGCGCCTAACAGCAGCAAGAGCAACAACAAGTCACGGAAGTGGGAACCATGGCCTCCTCACCTCTTGCCAGGAAACCTTTTCTATGGTCCTGGGAAAGCCAGCGAGTGGGGTCAAGCTGGGACAAAGGCAAGTGTCTGGGAGAGAATGTAATCCAGACTGTGAAAAGGTCACCGCAGAGTGTATGTGGTCAAAGTGAATCTGAAAGCCAGAGAATGTACCCAGAAATGAAACAGAAAGTGCAGACGTGCAGTTGCCTTTATAAGGAAGAAGGGAATCAGGGAGAGGGGACCCCCAAGGGAACTTCAATTAGGCATGCTCTGTTCTTCAGCTGTGTGGCAGATGCACAGCTGTGTGTTTTAATACATGCAATCACACACACACACACACACACACATCAATATATGTGTCTTTTTACATATGTATACACAGTATTATCAAGTACTTTTTTCCAGAATGCACCAGCCTGTGCCCAGAATGCTTCCACTCTCTCTTATCTAGTATATGGTATCTATTTCATTGGTAGGAACTATTTCATAGCAAAACCCAAGTGGCACACAGGTGTTAATGAGGAAGGAGACATGGGTGTGGACTAAGAAAGCGTCTGAGAATATGAGAGTCAAAATCTCTGCAATACCAGCGCTGATGCCCCACGATGCATTTTAACTTTGATTAAAGGTTAACTCTCCACTGCCGGCATTCATTTACTCAGCATAATCTGCGGCAGGCCCAGAGTCTATACAGCTCCTGCTCTCTTTCTGTGAGGGAGTACTCACTCGTTATACCAGGTTTCTCCCACTGAACTTTACCTTATAAGTACATCAGGCCAGAAATCTATCTTTCCCATTGTGTTCAGCCTCACAGCACCCATGCTCCTACACCAGGCTGGGCTAGGGAATCAGAGAGCTGCGCCCCATGCAGTGAAAGACAGGCGCACACAGAGCCCAGGCCCCCACGATGATGCCAGGAGCTTTAGCTCTGGGTTCTCCTGTCTCCCGTTTGTGCAGTGCTCTGTGTAACTGCGTGCTGAGCCCTCGGGAGGGCTCCCAGGAGCTGGCCAGGTTGGAGGTCATCACCCAAGCCTACCAGGTGAGACCTCCTCTTCCCACCACTCACGCAGCACACAGCCTGGAGCTCCCTGGGGAAGGCCCATAGGCAAGGGGGGGGGACACCTGCTCTGGGGTTCTGGGGAGGGGGCCGCCTTCAAGCTGGGTCAGTCGTTCCAATGGAGTTCAGGTGGCAAAACCTACATGGCCCTGCTGCCCTTGGCAACTTAACCTGGCATTAGGCCTGAAAAGGACAGTAGTACTGGCTCCCTCAAAACACTGCTTTTCTCTCTCCCCTTGCACCTCTACCCGCGTCTTTGGTCCCAGAAATGTACACACAGAAGGACCACCAAGAGGGAGGGTGCAGAACCACTTGCTGGGGGCTCCTCTGCAGCCTCTTGCCAGGGTTTTTGTTCCCTGCTGAACTTCCTGGCTGGCCCCCAGAGCCCACAGTCCACTTCAAACCCAAGCAAAATGTGACCCAACCTGCTTCCAATTGACAGGAAAGAAAGTTGTGTTCTCAAGGGAAGGGTGCAGTGAGCCTGTCTGAGGTGATAGGGGCTGCCACCATTCTGCCCACCACCCTGTCTCCGGGGGCTTGGCCCACCCAGAGTCTGTGCTGAAGGCATCTTGTGTGTCCCCAGAACAGCATGCGTGAGCTGGTGGAGTCGGGCCGCTATGACACTCAGGAGGACTTCTCTGTGGTTCTACAGCCGTTCTTCCGCCATGTCCAGGTCCCGGTCCTGGAGGTACGCTCCTTGCCTGCTCTGTGTGGTACCCCCGGGAAAGCCTCTCAGGGAGCAAACATGAAGTGTTTGCATATGACTGGGACAAAGGGAGAAAGCTAAAGGGAGCAATGTTGTGAGAGCAGCATCCCTGGAGACAACTCGAAGGGGGAGGCTCCCACTGACTGAGGTCTGCCATCACTGGACCAAGCACCTACTACGTGCCAACCACTGTGCTCCCCACACACTGAATCTTCACAGTCACCTTTTTAAAATGAGTAGTATCATCATCCTGCAACAGAGACTCAGAGATGTGAAGGATCTTTCTTAAAGTCATATATTAAGTGTTAAGGGATGGCTAGAGAGCATGTTTGGTAAAAGCAGAGGGCCAGTGAAAAGAAAGGAACCACTCAGTGAGATGAATTCGTAAAAGCCACAACAACGGACTTGCACAGGCCAGCCATCAGAAAGACAGTTCTGGACCAGGGAACATTTTGTTCTGTTTTACATAAGTTCCCCCTAAGTCAGAGTCAGCCTGAGGGCGGTAATAACCTAAAGGCATAGCTCCAAATGACTGGCTTTCTGCCCACATTCGCGTTCTCTGCGCATGGCTCTGCAGTTACAAAGGAGGGTCCTGTGACTTTTCTGCTGCAGCCTGACCCTGCCTTCCGCCTGATGTGTCCTCTCCAGAGAAGAGGTCTGAGTGGACCGGGTGAGGGCTGAATTCTGTCTGCCAGGACCTCTGTGCTGAGGGCCTCTCCTCACTCATCTCACGGGAAGGAGAGAAGCTTTGTGCACTGGAGCTCAGCCAGTCAGAAGTGGCTAGAGTCAGGCGGCACTCGGCGCCCCCCCCCCCCCCCACCGGTGTCAGCCGCATCAGGGCTTTCCCTCTGGCTCCGCCTGGATTCTCATGCCCCACCCTCAAGTCCACAAGGACCAGCTGGCCAAGTTTTGTGAAGTGGCTTTCTCAAGCTGTCTGGCCAGTGTTCCTCAGAGACAAGGATCTCAATCACTCACCTCTGCCATAAGCTAGGGCAATAGGTACCTAGCCAAAAAGAATCACTTCCACTGAGAAATTCCAAATCGTTGCCACCCTCTGAGGCTGTAAATCTTTCTAGGGGGAGACTGGTCATTCTTCTGTAGGGCGCTTGGTGGATTTGAACCACTGGCCTTTGATTAGCAGCCAAATACATAATGTACTGGGCCACCAGTCCTCCTAGTAGGTCTCTGGGGGATGCAAATGGTTTGTGTTTTACTCCTTACCTTAAAGTGAGCCACTTTGAATCCACCCAGTGGCACTGTAAGTAAGCCCTGGTTAGATGCTTCACCAACAGCCAAGAACCCCCCCGTGGGGCTGTTCCACTCTGATTATGGTGTTGTCCTGAGTGGAAGCAACTTAATGGCAATGGCTTCTGGGGTTTTGTTTTATTCAGAGAACACTCTGTGAAGGTACTAAAATATAAATAGGGTGCGTTTTGAGGAAGTCCTGGTGGCATGGTGGCTTAAACACTAGGATGCTAAAGTAGAAGGATGGGCAATCTCTTCCTCATTCGATTGTACACGACAACAACCTGAAGGTCTACAGTTCAAATCCACCAGCTGCTCCCAAGAGAGGGATCTGTCAGTATGCTTCTATAATGCTGTGGAAACTTCACAGGGCAATGCTGCTGTGCTTAAATAAAGGGAACTGTGTACCAGGAAGGGGGTGGGGCCTGCATGTCAGGGAGGCTTTCTGCTGCAGGATGGCCCTGATCCGCATCTAGAGGCAAGCACACTCTGGAGACTAAAGACTCCAAGTGCTTCCACATTGAATGGTCAGTCCCAGAGGCCAGGCCAAACTGGACCCTCTAGACCAATAGGATCTTGAGGAAATGTGTTTCTCTCCTTCAGGGTGGGAGCCCAGATACATCCTTCTTCGCCCCGGACTGCATCCATCCAAGCCAGAAATTCCACTCTCAACTCTCCAGGGCCCTTTGGGTCAATATGGTAAAGTTACGGGGTGTCCTTGGTTCACTGCGCTTTCACTGAGGGTACAGCATCAGCTTCCCCTAACCCTGTAGAATGGAGCGTCATTCTGGGTCTCCCTTTGGAAGCAAGGCACAGAGGATGGAAGGCAGGCCAGCCTGCAGAAGTCTGTTGAATTTGAAATACGGGGTCCTTCAGACTTTGCTCAGCTCAGGCTCAATTCTTCCATCTCCTCTGCAGCTGTAAGGAAGGGCGCCCTCCACTGCATTGGAGGAAGAAACCTTCCATTTCCTCATCTTTCCTATGTGCCATCTCTATGAGGCAGTTGAAGCCATGCTATCTCATTTAAACCTCTCAGCAGGCCTCCAAGAGAAATATTCACAGTTTATGAGGAAGCTGATTCCTAGAGAAGCCAAGAGACCTGCCCAGTGTCCCACAGTTAGCAAGTAACAGAGCCAGGAGTAGAAGCCAGACTTCCAGAAATCAAATTGCTAGCTCTACTCACTGCAGTGGGCTGCTGTGGGCTGGTCAGCTCAGAGAAAACAAATCATTACACCTGTTTCTTCCTTTCCTTCCCCATCAGCTTCAGCCACTAGGAAATAAAACGGAGAGTCTGGACCTGGCAGCAGACATACCTCTGTCCTGCCCCACTCAGGTAACAAGGGGGGACCTGCCGATGTGCTTCCACCTTGCCTCGTCCCTTCATCTCCTCCCATGCTCCACGCTGACCAGCTTTCCCCATGCACCTGTGAACCAATGCCAGTGATGAGGAGCGAAAAGGGGCCTCAGACGCTGGAAGAGGGCACAGAAGTGGTTCGTTCTTTTGCAATGAGGGAAGAAACTGGGAGAGGACAGAATGAGAGATGTGGACTCTCGAGAAAGGGACTCAAGAATCCAGAAGGGCGAGAAGGCTCCTTTTAGCAGTGGCATTCGAGGCATGTGGGAAAAGTCTGACCGCAGGTCGGAGGGATAGTGAGGAGTCAGCTGGACTCAGAAGTGGTGCTTAGAGACCCTGGAGCCTGGCTTGGGGATTTTCCAGCAGAAAGAGGGTCAAAGGTGCGAACAGCCAAAGGGAGAGCCCAGAGCAGTGTGGAGGAGGAGCCCCTGGGCTGGCCTGGTGGAAACAGAGATAGAAATCAGCTCTTGGCTCCTTTTAAGGAAGAAAGTGTGAGTGGTTGATTGCTCAGCGGGATTCCAAACCTAGGAGTGGGGGGCAGATTTGAGTTGCCATGCCTTGAACTCCCTCTTCTCCGTCTTATCAATTGTTATATTTTTTTAATCAATTGTTTGTAACCCTTCCATGACCTAATTATTTTCTGCTTTGATTTTTCGTTCATACCATGTATTTTCCGTAAGGGAAGTGATATCAAGGGGAAGTTATTTTTAAGGTAGTATGGATTGTGCTATGAGTATGTGGGACACATATGTTCCAAGTGGACTCTGGTGGTGGGATTGATGGGATTCAGCTTCACACAGGTCTCTGCTAGGCCCCAGTATATACAACAACTGAGAGAGTAATTTCCCAAGAAACATAAGAAGCTGACAATGTTGGTGGATAATATATGCCCCAAGAATCACGAAAGAGCTAACAAAACAAGACCCAGAGAGCCCTGAGTGGCAATAATAGCAGAAAGTCCTGACTCACTCTAGGAGGCCTGGTTTCCCCTGGTGGGTCTAGCTGCCTCTCCTCTCCTGTCCTTTTGGCTGAAAAGTGGCCAAGGAATAAACCTCCAGGGCTCCTCAGAGAGTAGGGCCCCTCCCTCTCTGGTCCATGCTCCCGTCTTTTGCTTTCCCACTTTAACTTGAGGACCCACCATCAGCCTTTTCAGGACTCAATGGCACAGGAAGAAAGTGGGTGGTTTAGAAAGGTAGGGACAGCAGAGGGTTCAGTTGCTGATGTAAGTGCTTTGGTAAGAGGACTATTCAGATTATGTTACTACCAGGGCAACATGCCCTCCAGTCCAAGTGTTCTAGAGGCTCCAAAAGTACCAGAAGCAAACTCTTTAAATGTTGAGAGTTTGGACTGGTCAGAGAGTCCTAGGTGAGGGATTGGGACACCTGGGGAGTGGGGGCATTTGAGGGCTCAGAGCGGTGTCTACAAAGCATACTGTGGAGAAGTCTTTCAATATGTCAACAACTTCTATGGAAATCCCTCTCCAAAACCACAAAGTCTCCTATTAGATAGTAGAAGTAATAAGTATCCTCAGCAGGGAACTATAATTTGCTCTTTCTTAAAACAAAAACAAAACAAAACAACAACAAAAAAAATAAACAACCCAACCCCAAAACATTTATTAAGCATCATGTTGAAGCCTATACAATGGGTCAGAGAGATTCTTCTCACCATGGGCGTCAAGGTGCCCTCTGGGTCCCAGACCAAATGGGAAGTTCAGAAACAATGATCCACCATCCATAGCATCTCCAGCCACAGTTGCCTGGCTCCTCTCTTCTGGACAGAGATTGATTAAACCATCAGTGAGCAGAGGAGAGCTCCATCCTCCTGGAACTGGTAGAAGAGTCTGGGAGCTGTGGTTGCTAGGCAACCCTGGAGCCCATTCCAAAAGGGTCCATCTGTTGGCCAGCTCATTTTCATTGCACCAGGCATTCTGTGTTCCACAGGTCCCATCTGCTCCCTCCCGTGTGCCTTGGAGCTATATAAAAGCCCACCAGCATCTCAGTCTGAGCTAACAGGGGCCAGGCAGCATATATTTTAGTCCTAACTGTGTCTAAACATAGAGGCAAGAGGCAACAGGCAGGAACCAGAGGGGAAGGAGACTAAGGTGAAACAGTGAAGGGGCTTCTTCAGGCTTCTCCTTTCTCCTCCATTATCAGGGAAATGAAAATTACACTCTACTGTGTCAGATAGGGCAGGTTATTTTACAGCTAACTTTAAAAAAAAATTATTGTTAATTTCAATGAAAATTTACAGACTTTGGATTTCCATCCATTGATTATTGCACTTTTCTCCCCTTCCAACCCTCCCCCCTAGTACACTACCCTCTTGGAAAAGTAAAAGAAAAAGTCTTTCATTGTTTTACTATCCCTCCCCCCAGGTCCACTCCACTATGCAGCCTTGGCTCTGGACTCCTGTCATGACAAAAATACCTAATAACATATCTCTTTTAAACAGTTTTATCCCTCATCTGTTTCAATGCAGTATACATTATTGAACCCCTCTTTCTCAGTCTCCCCTCAACTCCGATGTCAGTCCTGTTTTACAACAGTGGCACCATGCAGTATTTGTCCTTTTGTGACTGAGATACTTCACTCAGCATAATGTCCTCCAGGGTCACCCATTTTGAATAATATTTCATGAGTTTCTTATTTTTCAATGCAGCATAGTATTCCATTGTGTAAATATACCACAGCTTCTCTATCCATTTGTTTGTTGATGGGCACTTAGGTTGTTTCCAGCTCCTTGCCATTGTGAACAAAGCCACGATAAACATGGGTGTGTAGAGCCAACTTTTGACCAGCCACTCTGAATGGTGACTGTTTTCCCCTCAGTGCCTTAATCCCCTCTCTGCCTACTCCTTCCCTAACCTGAGCATCTTGCTGGACCCTTGTTGCAGTTGTGTGCCATCAAAGCAGAACCTACCCATGGCCAACTCTCTGGTGGGTTTTCAGAGGTAGTAAATCACATGGAACATACTCGTTCCACAGAGATTGATCTGAACCAGGTGCTTTTGAAATTGCTGTGCAGTTTCTTACCACTAGCCTGCCAAGCTACCGAGCAACTTACTGGCTTCTTCTTGTTGTTATTATTATTGTTACTGTTGTTGTTATTAGGTCAAGTATAATTCATAGTGACCCTATGAACCACCGATCTGAACCCTGTCCTATCCCATGCCATCTTTATAATCTCTGACACACTCAAGCCCATTGCTGTAGTCACCATGTCGAACCACTTGGTTGAGGGTCTTACTCTCTTTTGCTACTCCTCTGCCTTCCCAAGCGTGATGTCCCCCTCCAAGGAATAACCTCTCCTAGCAACTTGCTCAAAGAATGTGAGGTGAAGCTTCATCATCCAAGGAGCAACTGGCTGTAACTTCTCCAAGACGTATTTGTTTGTTCTTTTGGCAGTCCATGGAATATATAATGTGCTGGTCTCAAACATCACAGTTCTAAGGCAACAATTCCTCTTTCTGTCATTGTTGCCTCTTGTTTCTTTTAATGATCCTTCTTCTGTCTCTTAACCTCCAAAACATTCCAGCATTCATGTCTCAGTCATTCTCTCTCTCTCTCTCTCTCTCTCTCTCTCTCTCCCTCCCTCCCTTCCTCCCTTCCTCTCTCTCTCTCTCTCCACATTCCAGTGGACTGCACATGGCAGATCCTGAGGATGGTGCAGGACAGGGCAAGGTCCATATCTATTGCCCATGAGGTCACTATGAGTCATGGTCAACTTGATGGCACCTACAACAAAGGTTTCCTGTTAGATATCTTTGCACTTCCCAATGTGCCTCTTCATTTCTTTTTTCTAGAACTCCAGGCTAAAGGCAGAGTAAATGTACTGTCAGAGAGAGAGTAGCAACAAGTGAGGAGTGAAAGAGATTAAGGAGAGAGGGAGACTGAGATAATATCATATACTGTTTTATCATGAGAAGAAGCAAAAGGGGTAGCCAACAAATAGCCTGCAATAAAATCCCAAGTTTTCCCCCTTACTCTTATTTGAGTCTCTAGCAAGGTTTCTACTTTTTTTTAAAAAAAAAATTATTTTAATTGTGATTCTAACAAAAGTTTACAGAAAAGTTGTATTTTCATTCATTCATTGTTGCATTTTTCTCCCTCCCTGTTCTCACACCCTCCCGCAGTTAACTTTTTTATTTTCATTCATTCATTGTTACACATTTTCCTCTCTGCCCCCCTTCCCCAGTTCACCTTTCTCTTTGTAAAAAAAGGGGAAAATATTATTTCGTTGTTCTAATTATCTTTAGATCTGTCTGACTCCACCATTATGTCAAAGTCAACAAATGTTCATTCAGAAAGTCCTTTTCAGAGCAAAGAATGTCTAAATGAGAACAACATATTTATCTTCCCAAGTTCTCTGTCCCTGGCGTGTCCTTATTTCTGTCAATATAATCGTGGTTTTCACAGTTCTCCACATGTGAAACTTTAGGCCCTGTCTGATAGGATGCTTCCTAAGGCTCTTCCCATCTGCCTTTCCATTCCCACTGCCACCTCCTCGCTTCACATCCACAGTGCTTTATATGTTAATGGGTATCTAGCTCTACTTTCCCATCATGAAGCAACAAAGAATTGTTTAAACAGAATCTCAGTCAAAAGAAGCTTTGGCGTACTGTTGATACAATGCCCATTGGAACTGAGTTGCCTCCAATTCATGAGTTACAGAGTAGAACTCTCCAGACAGATTTCTGGACTGTAACAGAACAGACTTTTCCCATGTTACACCTTTCCATTAGCAGTCAAGCACCAACCATTGTACCATTGTCCCTCATTATAACTGTATCTATTGCACCCTCCTTCCTACAGCCTCACTCCAGTCTCTGCCTTTTTTAAAGTTCTGCTTATCAACTATCAAGTGACTGCATTTTAAGCAGGCTGTGAAATCAATGGTCATGGACCATGAACCCTAAGTTTTCATGGAATAGAAAGGCGTAAGAAGATTTCAGGGAGCTTCCATGTAGTGATGATTTTACTTTCCTCCCTCCTATGGCCAACATCCCACCCTATACAGACCCAACTCCTCTCCATACAAAACAATTGTCATTCTACAACCATGTATCATGGCCATGGCTTCTATTGGCTCATGGAGGCATGTCTCTGTCAACATGGCATCCTTTATTTAATTGCCACCAGGTCTGACTGTACATTCCTTGTTTGGTCCAGTCAACACAGCAGAAAAGGATCAATCTTTCAGTATAGAACTTTATAACTAATGATGTCACAAAGATTTATGTGACCTTTTCCCAAGAGGCACCAATTCACGTTGGGCGATTGTCTAGGAGTAGCCTCCCAAGGCAAACCAGGCCACCTTTGCACAGCTGTGACTATTGTGGACCTCCCCGTGCTGGCTTTCAATCTGCATCCCTTTCTACTTACTGACATAAGTCTAGTCAGTCACATTAAATGGACTCTCTGCCACATAATCTGCTTGACTCCAGGCCTTTAAACCACCCTGACTCATTCACATGCCACACAGTCACAGAAAACAAGCCCTGGCCAGCCTAGTCTGTTTCCTTGCCCCTGTCTGAGACCTGTCTCCTCTCACCTACTGTTTTTGTCTAGTTCCTTGTGGCCCCTCCCTGGCCTCTGGCTCCTCTGGCTCTGTCTCCCTCCCAGGTCCTCCAGCCCTTGGATCTGTGACCAGGCTCACTCCCCAGCGTGCCTCTGAGCACTCCACCAGGCCAGGGTTGTATTTGCCCTCTGGTTCTTGCTGGGCTGATCACTCTCAATAATCACTCAGCTGGCTCCAGCCCCCAGTCCCAAGTCCCAGTCAAAGCTCTCTTAAAGTGAGAGAAGAAGAGTTAGTGTGCATACTACACACTCATACACCATTGAGTCTCATCTTTGAGGGATCTGGGGGCTGTTCCTCAGCAATTACTGCACTTCTGGATACAATGTTCTCTGGTGCTTCTCTATCTTAACAGCTGCTCACATCTGGCTATCTTTGTGCTTCACTGGGGCCTCTGTGTTATAATCCCCTCTTCCTAGAACCCAATATAATCAATGTTCTGGATTTCCAAGATGATCAACTAACCAATATAAGTCAGTTTCCCAGGAAAGTAACACAAACCTGTTGATATTGTTGTTAAGTGTTACTTAGAGTTGAGTACAACCTGTAGCGACCCTATGAACACCATCTGTCCTGCCCTGCACCGTTGTTATCCTCATATCAGTACATGGCATTGAGGGCCCTGAGACAAGCCTGAGTTTCTCAGCAGACAGGTCACCATAGCCCTCCCCTGTCTGGCACTGCTGAAGATGGTCTAGGATAGACCTCCTTCCCTTGGCCCTGAGAGTGTTTCTCAGTGGAAGGGTGTTCCCCTGACCGTGTTTCAGGTAGGAATGCAGATACTCAAAGGAAAGAGATTTTTCTGCCGGGACCATGATTCATGTGGGTAGCTAAGAGCTTTGCACACATGGACTTTGTTTTTTGGGTGACTTCTGGGTTTCCCTTTTCCTCTCGTGTGAGAAATGAAAACAGGCGTCAGGCCCTGGCCCGGCTCTGCATTCACTCCTTGCTCTCAGGAATAGGGCCCTGCTCATTCTGGGCCTCAGTTGTTTTTGGTTGTGAAGTGGAGGTCCTGAAGAGTCAGAAGTTTCAGTGCAGATAGGAGCACATTTGTGTGAATGGGGTCAGGTGTAAGCCACAGGGTAGTAGCAAGGCCAGAATTAAAGAAAATACTCCCTTCTGAAAGTTATGAAATGGTACTTTTATAAAAAAAATCATTTATTTCTGTGAAAGTTTACATATAGTGGGTTTTTGTTCAATCATCCATAGACATTTTGTTTTTTAATATTCCATATAATCAGTTCATATAATTAATTAATAACAATATCTAATAAAACATTTTAGGTGTTCTGTAATCCCCATTTTTCTCAAGATTAGCCACAAGTTGTTATGATCCTCAAAGTCAAATGCCTTTGCATAGTGAACAAAACACAGATAGACATTCCTCTGGTACTCTGCTTTCTGCCAAGATCCATCTGACATAAGCTATAATATCCCTAGTGCTATGGCCTCTTCTAAACCCAGCCTGCAGTTCTCTGCTGATTTACTGTTTCAGTTATTTCTGGATTATTTTCAGCAGGATCTTGCTTGCGTGTATTATTAGTGATACTGTTCTATAATTTCCACCCTCTGTTGTGTCACCCATTTTTTTGAATGGAAATAAATCTAGATCTCTTTCAGTCAGTTGATCAGGTAGTTGTCCTCCAAATTTCTTGGCATAACGTGGTAATCACAACCAGGGCAGCATCTGTTTGCTGAAATATATCAATTGGTATTCCATATTCCATCAGTTCCTGGGACCTTGTTTTTGCCAGTTCTTTGAGAGCTTGAACTTCCTCCTCTCCAGAAGAGTTAATTGTACTCATGTAAAATCTGTACTTAGACCAGGAAGCAGTGGTCAGAACAGAAGAGGGAAACACTCCAGGGTTTAGGATCATGAAAGGGGTGCATCAGGGATGCATCTTATCTCCATACTTTTTCAATCTATATGCAGAACAGATTATTCAGGAGGCTAGACTTTATGAAGAGGAATGTGACATCAGGATTGGAGGAATATTCGTCAACAATCTGTGTTATCCAGATGACACAACCTTGTTTCCTGAAACTGAAAAGGACATGAGGCAAGTCAAGGACTGTGGTCTTTAATATAGACTGAAGAAAACAAAGATCCTCACCACTGGGCCAATTGGTAGCTTCATGATAGATAGAGAAGAGATTGAGATTGTTGATAACTTCAGTTTATTTGGATCCACAATCAACATTCTTGGTATTAGCAGTCAAGAAATCAAAAGAGGAATTGCATTGGTAAACTCTGCTGTCAAGCACCTCTCTAGAGTATTAAAGAGCAACAGGGTCAGTGTGGAGACTAAGGTGCACCTGATCCAGGCCATGGTCTTCACAATTACTTCTCATACATCTGAGAGCTGGATAGTGAATAAGGATAATAGAAGAAGGATCAATGCCTTTGAGTTGTGGTGCTGGAGAAGAGTGTTGAACATACTGTGGACTGCCGGGAGAACAGGTCTGTCCTGCAGAGTGTGAAACCAGGCTGCTCCCTGGAGACAAAGATTTTGAAGCTTCATCTCACATACTTTGGGCACATGGCCAGAAGGGATCACTTCTTTAAGAAGAACATCTGGCTTGGAAGGGTAGAAGGACAGCACAGGAGAAGAAGACCCAGGATGAGATGAACTGACTCAGTACTAGAGAAATGGGATTAGGTCTGTCAGAGATGATGCGATTGGCTCAGGATAGGGCACGGTTCAAAGCTAATACAGATAGGGTTGCTATGAATTGTAGGCAAATCGATGGCACCATAACAACAACAATAAAACATTTAATATATATTGCCTTTCCCTTCATCCAATTTATCTACGTATTTTGTTCCCCTCCTTTCTCAGCCCTCCAAGACAGATTCTGTGTGTAAGCCTTTCCTTAACTTTGGGATAGTTCTTTTTCTATAGGACGTCATCCTCATTAAAATAAAGCAAAAATACCCACCTCCTTGGCAGGTTCGGCCTGGAGCAGTCAGTTTTCAGCTCCTGAGTTTGATCTCTAAGAACCCGTCTTCAATATTCTGCCTCTTCCTTCATATTCCCACTTTATCCTGAAATTTTCAGTGCAGAGTCCTCTATCCACTGAAAATGTTTTGTGCAAGTGCTGACTGTCCTGGGTCCACCTTGATATTTCCTGATCTCTGTTGTATTCACTCACGCCCCCTCCTCCATCTCTCCTTTGTCCACTTTCTTCTTTTTCAATTAACTCATCACCCGAATATGGATGAACTTGGATTCTCAACAGGGCTTGCATGAAAATCCAAATATTTAATAGGTGAGCAAGGAGTAAAAGGGATGTTTCATGAAAAAGGGAGAAAAAAAAATGACCAAAAATGTATGACACCAACCTGAAGGCCTCAGACAAAGGGAGGTAGAAATAATAGATGTTCAAAATATATTAGTAATCACACTAATTGTTGGAAAAGGGAGGGATGCCAAAACAGAACTTCCTTGCCAGAGGAATTCTAAAGGAAACAAAGTGGATCATTCTGAGGATTAGGGAGATGAGCACTTGCTCAAGCAGAAATGAACAGTTAGAACCGTGTTTAGGACGTGTTCTCAACCTTCTTAGGGCCTTGTGGGGGGGGGGGGAGGGTACTTGCTTGAGGGCATGTATATGCAAAACTCAAGCCAAACACTTACACAACTCCTTTATGGAATGAATGAAATTCTTTATACAGTCATCATTTCTGTTTAAATGCAAAAGTGTTGACTTACAGGACAGGGCAGGGTTCAGATCACAGGGTCACTCACTATGAGTGGCAGTTGACTGCATGTAACAACAATAACAACAGCTAAGGGGCAGAATAGGGAGCTCCAGTGGCCTAGTGGGTAAGGAGTTTTCTGCCAATCCAAAGACAGGTGGTTCAAATCCACCAGGTGCTCCACGGAAGAAAGGTGGAAAGTGTCCTCCTGTGTGATTTACAGCCTCTGAAAACCCACTAACTAGAGGGTCAGCTATGAGTCAGTGCTGACTCAGTGGTAATGAGGGAGGGAGGACAGAATTGTTAGGTCTGCCCTACGTTCCTACAGTGCTGTTAGATAACCTGTGCTTTCTTTTTTTCCCTCTTAGGATGAACCCTTCCTGAGGACCCTCCAGAACAGCAACTACACCTACTCCACCACGCCCGATCCTGAGGTAGTGATCTCCCTTCAACACCAGCCATTTCCACCTGCCAGTGATTTAGTTTATGCGTTTATGCAGGCATATATGTGTGTGTGTGTGTGTGTGTGTGTGTATATCTTGCATACTTGGAGCTAGAATGTACAGGAAAGTTCCCAAACCACAAAGCCCAGGGATTGTCTTAACATGTCCACAGTGCTCACCTGATGTCAGCAGCCAACTGGAGGAAATGCCCATGGACCAGCTTTCTTTGACCTTTGCAGTCATGTTCTCACAAACGTCATCTCATTAGGCAGCTGAGCCTTTCGGGAAAGGGTACGAGGGAGCAGTGGGGCATGACACGCCATCCACTTCCTGTCAGGTGGAAGCCATGTGGAAAGGAATCCTCACTTCATGGTTTGGGAGCAATGGGAAACACACTTACCTAGGAGCATACCCAGGGCTTGTTTATTTCAAACCAATTTTTCTCGCTTTGTGGTATCCCAGAGGATCCAAAGCCTAGGCTTTAGGGTCTTCAGAGGACTCTTGGCTACTCCACAGTGGCCTCGAGGGATGCTGGACCACACCAGGTCTCACAATACAGAATGGTCCCTCAAGGTCCACTCACCACAGCAGAACTCAGTCACTGGTGTCAGTGGGGTTCTGTGGTGTCTCCAGTCTTGTGTTAGGGGCTGCAGACCATTTAGAAGTATCAGACATGGGCCTTCCCTTAGGAAGTTAAAGATAATTCCACAACAGCTGACTGAGCACCTACCACGTGCCAAGCACTATTCCATGAGAATAAAGCAGTAAGCCACACCGATGAACCTTATGGCCTTATAATCTAGTGGGGAGATGTTGTTTTTGCTGTTACTGTACAAAGTAGAGTCAGAACTGACCCATAGCTGACCTCCTGGTGGATTCCCAGAGACTGTTAATCACACGGGAGGAAATTGCCCATCCTTCTCCCTCAGAGCAGCTGGTGGCCTCAAACCGCCTTCAGGATTGCAACACAGCTTCTAGTGGGGAGATACAGCCAGAAAATCATTAGATAAATGAAAATGGTGAGGATGATCTGAAGACAGTGATGAGAAAGAGTAAGGAGGAGAATGTGGTAGCTTCACATTAATTGTGCAGACCAGGCTCCTCAGGAGGTGAGCGTGGAGCTGAAATCCGCATGATGAAAAGGCATTAGCCATCTGCAGAGCACAAGGACAGAGTCCCAGACCAAAGGGCCAGGGAGCACAAAGGTCCAGAGTGAGGCTGAGTTATGTGTATTTGAGGAAGAGAAAGAAGTTCAGTGTGGTGGAGCATGGGGATGAGGCGAAGAGTGGGGGAGATGAGATCAGAGGCATGGGCAGGAGCCAGATCGCTCAGAGCCTGAATATCTCACAGAGAAGGCCTAGCGAGGTCGAGAGAGGTAGGAAGCCATTGCAGGCGATCTCTCTGACTGCTGTGTGACCAGAGGCTTAGAAGCCAGAAGGCGTGATTGAGGAAAGACCTTTCATGATCCAGATCAAAGAGGGAGGCTAACCTGTATGAAATTCACGGAGAGCCGATGCTGAGCTGTGGAGGATGAACAATAACGGAAGTTTGGTGGTGGGAGAAGTGAGAATACACAGTTATAGTCAGACAGAAGGTGAGAGCAGAGATAAGACTGTAGACTCCAAGGTTATAAATGAATGGGATGGAGTAAGGAAGGGAACCATCGTGAGTATAGCTACAGAAGCAGAGAAAAGGCACAGCTCTGAGGGTTGACAGAAGCCAGAAGGTCACCCGCATAAGGGAGGGAGAGGCGCTTATTGGGAAGGGGAGTGGGCGTGGGGCTCAGTGGTTAGTGAAGAGCCAGTTGATGAAGGGCCTCAGAAGCCAACATTGGAAGAGAACTTCCACTGGAGAATAACCGGGGGGTGGGGGGTGGGGGTGGGTAGGTGTTTAAGCAATAAAAGCAAAGTCATGGAGTCTCTGAGTGGCACAACTGTTAAACGTTCGGTCCACAATAGCTGTGCAGGCCAAAAGCTGGCATTAGCTGTGCAGGTCCAAAGGCTGGCAGTTCAAACCCACCCAGAAGGGCCTCAGAAGATAAACCTACATACAGATCTACTTCTAAAACCTATGGAATGGCTCCACTCTCCACACGTGGCAGCAACATGAGTAGGAATTTATTAAATGGCAACTAACAACAATAACATCAACCAGATGGGGAAAGAAAAGTCAGGGTGCAAACCATTGGGGCCAGCTGGCCTAGCAGCAGAGTGCAGGAAGGCTGGTGAGAAGACAGCTTCATAGCCTCTCTGGATTTGCTCCAAAAGCCCCTGTAATTGAAATGTCAGATCTGTTCCATCAATCATGTATGTGTCTGTGTTCACACCGGCACCTTCAGTTAGGGACTGCACGCTGAACCCTTTGAACTGCCCAGGGGCCCTTATGTATGCATGCGTGTACTTCACAGCTATTCATCAGATGCTATCACGGAGCAAGTGCCATGATAAGCACTGGGTATATGATGGTGAGGAAAAGTGGATCTGGGACTGTTCTGTCTGGCTACTTGGAGGCTCGTTTATCTTTGATTTTGATATTCTCATTGCTGTTGAGACAGAACCAACTCAGAGTTGATCCTCCACTGGATTTCCGAGGCTGTCAATCAGACAGGAGGAGATTGCGCATCTTTCTCCAGAAGAACTGCTGCTGGTGGAGTCAAAGTACCAGAGGCAGGCTCAGCCCTTGCTTTAGCAGCGCAGCTCACTGTGGACTATGCTACAAGAGCTTCTGACGTTAGATGAGTTAAAAACTCGGACTTGAGAAGTTTCTAGGAGTCCCTAGGTGATAAAATTACTTAGGATGCCTCAGAGAGCTGGACAATGACCAAAGATGACAGAAGAGAAATGAATGCCTTTGAGTTGTGGTGCCTGAGAAGGGTACTGGCCACATTATGGACTGTCAAGAGAATGAACGGGTTTACCCTAGAGAGGGTGAAAGAAACCAGGCTGTTCCTTAGAGGCAAGGAGTTTGAAGCTCTGTCTCACATACTTTGGGCACATGGCCAGGAGGGACTGGTCAGTGAAGAAGGACATCATGCTTGGAAGGGTGGAGGGACAGCACAGGAGAGGGAGACCCAGAATGAGATGAATTGACACAGTAATTGGGGTAATGGAGGAAGGTGTGTCAGAGACAGTGAAATTGGCTCCGGGCGAGTTGCAGGTGATTTGATGACACATTAACAACACAACAACAATAGATGGTACAAACAATTAATGAGGACAGCTCAGTGAAAAGCTGGAGGTTCAAAGTCACCAAGATGTTCTTTGGAAGACCGGGTAACACTAATTCTGGGCAGCAGTGGAATCTGCCATTGGAAACAATGTGAGATCACAGTCCTACTTTGAAACACATGGTGTCATTGTGGGTTGAGGTCCACTCAATATAGCAGCTAGTTAGGGGATTTTTTTTTTTAATTTTTTTCTTTTTTAGTACCTTTGCTACTTAGGATAATAGAAGGAGAATTGATGCCTTTGAGCTGTGGTGCTGGAGAAAAAAGAGAGTGTTGAATATACCATGGACTGCTAGGAGAACAAACAGGTTCAACCTGGAGAGGGTGAAGCCAGGCTGCTCCTTGGAGGCAAGGATTCTGAAGCGTCATCTGATGTACTCTGGACATGTTGCAAGGAGGAACCAGTCCTTGGAGAGGGACGTCATGCTTGGGAGGATGGAGTGACACCTCAAGAGAGGAAGACACTGGATGAGATGGATTGACTCAGTGATGGGGTAGTGGGGGTAGGTGTGTCAGAGACAATAAGGTTGGCTCAGGATAGAACAGGGTTCAGAGCTGTTGCACATAGGGTCACTATGAGTCACAAGCAACTCCATGGAACATAACAACAATTCAGGAAGGTGAAGGGTGAATAAAAGAGGGGGAGGACCTTAACAAGACAAACTGACACAATAGGCTGGAGCCTATCAGACATGGAGGGATGATGCAGGGTAAGTCAGATCTGTTCACAGAGTTGCTATGAATCATAGTCAACTTGATGGCACCGAGCAACAACAACAGCTACTTGAAGCCGACTCAAGACAGGCAGCAACATCATTATATGGGAGATAGTTAGAAATGCAGAGTCCAGGGCTCTGATCCAGCCCTATTGAGTCAGAATCTGCAATTTTAACCCGGTCTTCAGGGGTTGTAATGCATTCATTCCCTTGTGACTGTGGGACTTGCCCAAACTCCAGCCTGTGAAAGTGATTGTATGTAGAAAGTGCTTGTCCTTGGCTCACCAACTGCCTGAGCTGTTTCTAAAGTACTCAAGGCTATCTAACTTAATTTAAAAGTCACATTTCCCCTGGGTATTTGTCATCTGCACACAAGCACGTTCTTGATCTCAATAGATGTTCAAAACAGAAGAAGAGATCCACCAGTGTGACAAATGGCACATTCCCTGGGAAGACACAAACCTGCAACAGGATAAGTGAATTATATTTAAAAAGAGTTTCCTTTTTGGTTCTTTGTGAAATGGATGTTTTCACAAAGCTTGTCTTCGTGATCATATGATTAAGTAGATGAGAGGAGTTTCCCAAGGCTTCTGGCAATGAAGCCTAAGAGGATTAGTAACTGGTCAACACCTACTTGTGAAGCCCTGCACCCTCAACAAGATGAATTGACACAGTGGCTACAAAAATGGGTTTAAGTACAGAAAAGACTGTGAAGACGGTGCAGGCCCAGGCAGCGTTTTGTTCTGTTGTGCGCAGGGCTGGTAGGAATCAGAGCCCCTGTGACAGCAATTAACAGCAGCTGCCCGCACTGGGCTTCGTCCCGCAGGCCCTCCTGAAATGCTCATCTAGTTTGTACTCTGAGAAAGAGCTTTTTCTCCCCTTCTCTTTCTGGTCATAGCTATGCTATCCATTATCAAGCTAGAGAATCTGACTGGTGGGACCCAGCATTGTGGACATTTATTTATGCACATCTGAGGAATTGGTACCTCTGACATCAAATATGTAAAAGAGATATCTGGCCATAGAGAACATATGCAGAAACCAGAAACTTTGCAATTTGTGAACATTTCATGCTGCTTTCCTAAAAATAGTGTAACTAATTATGGTTGGGCCCTAGTGTTATAATTAGTACCAATTAGCTTTATGTTAAACACCACCACCAAAAAACCATCCAGAACTTCCAAACTTTGTGTTCCGTCAGGGAAACACCTGTAGTATGACGCCATGGTCTTGCCTCTTGCTTTAAGGTAGCTTCTGGCTCCATGCGATGGTGTAGCTAACTCAGAATTGGAGAGGGTCTTAGTCCACCTACAACTAATAGTTCTTAGCTTCACACGTGCCGATGAGCAATCTATTTCTAGATCCCACCAAAAATTCCGTGGATAATTCAGGCTGAAGTTCGTCTCCCTCTACAATGAGTGTTGGACTTTGTATCCTTTCTCCTTGATCTAGAACTGGGGCAGTGACTTCCTGTGTGCGGGGTGGAATCCCTCCAACAGTGTTCCTACCTCAGGTGAGTGAAACATCACTACCATCTCCAGTCAAGAGCCTTTCTAAGTGTCAGGTCACAGGGAGGCCTTACAAGCACATCCTAGGGCTTTAAGCAGGTCTTGCCGATTTCATGACCATGTGCAGCCCCCAAGATGGCAGCCATGGTAAGGATCCCCTACTAAGAGGCCAAAGTCTGTCAATCAAATTGAATCACATTTTTATTTTTATGTAGACCTAATTCCAGGCCTGGCATCCTTCTTGCCCAGTGAGAGGGGTACAGTCATGGAATGGGGTCTTACCTCTCTTCCTACATGACCCCTGTAACTAGACTTTTCCTTTAGATGATTGGCTTCTCTCAGGATGAACAATAGTCATAGTCTGTTACCTTCACTGGCTTGCTTACTCTAAAAGAATCCAGAAGAAGCCAATTTGCTAAGCCATAGAAAGAGAAATGAAATGGCAACCTGAGAAGCAGAGCAGAGTCAAACTCCTGAAAAAGCTCACGTTTGAAAAAGGAAGACCCCTAACCATCTATCTTCTTTCCCGTCTCCCCTAGTCCATGAGCTCCAACCAGCAGACATCAAAGTGGTGGCCGCCCTTGGTGACGCGTTAACTGTGAGTATTGAGCCTTGAGCCAAGATTCACCCCTCGGAGCACAGCCAGCACCTGCAGAATCTGTGCTTCTGGAGCACTGGCCCCGCTTTCACGCATTTAGTCAACTTTTAGGGAAGGCTGACCACTATCAGGCACTGAAGTGGAGCCAAGCAGCCATGAGGCACCACCCAGTTATTCCATCTTGGCAATAAAGAAAAAAATAACCTCAATTCACTGCCATCAAGTCGATTCTGACTCATGTGACTTCCTTATAAAGTTTCCAAAGCTTTTGATACTAAGGTCAGAAGACCATCCATCTTTCTCCTGAGGAGTCCCTAGTGGTTTCCAACCATCAGAGACCCTCAATTTTATTGGAAATAGCATATCAGCACCATGTAGACTGTGCCATCAGAGCTCCTTCATCCTTCCTCAGTCCAGCTCAAAAGCTACCTATTGTTGTTGTTGTTGATTGCCTTCGAGTCGAGCACAACTCATAGTGACCCTATGAACAAAAGGCCTGCAGCCCCTTTACAACTATTGACATTTATCAAAGTTCATAGAGTTTCTGGAGGCATGTTATTTAGGAAGCGGATACCACTTCTGCTAGGTCTTCTTAATGTCCAGACAGAAACCATTTCACCTTCTCCACTGTTTCCAGGTACTCCGTGTACGGTCGTAGCCCTATCCAAGTCTTACAACCTTTATCTGGGAACTCATATCTAGGCTTATTCACTGCCAACACTCTTCATTCTATTTAATAATGCTTATTTTCAGAGCACCACTCCTGATTATAGCACAATCCCACTAAAAGTATTAAATTACCCAACTATTCCTTTATTGTGTACAAGACACCTTGTGAGCAATTCTGAGGGCAAAGAAGTATGGCCCACAGTCATGACCCATTAAAAAATATGTTCAGATGGGGGAGCAAAAAACTTACACAGAAAAAGACACTGTATCATATAAATGACTGCTGGTTTTGTGGTGGTTATGAACTGTCAAATTGGAACCAATCCATAGCTGACCCTCCAGCAAATTTTGAAAGGTAGCAAATACCATGGGAGATTGCCCATTTTTCTTTTGCCATGTGAGTGACTATAGGACTTTAGAAATGGGGTATTCACTTACAGTATAGGCCACTACAGGGCTTTAAAAATAGAGTATTCATTTCTGTGAAAACAGTACCCTCAAATGGGTGTGAATGCATTTTTGTTTTGAAATAAGTGTAGAGAAAGCTGTGGAAGGATTCCCACCAGCCTATCAATCATGAATTAGCTCTGATGGTGTTTGGCAAAGAGGAAATATAGACTCAGGGGTGGGGGCAAGATTTAAGGTGGACAGATTATAAATTTTAAAAAAATCTTTGTATTACTGGTGAACATGTAACATGGTGACCATATTAACATATGCTAAATGTCTGAAGGGCAATTTTTGAAAGAAAACATTTAGAGATCATTTTATCATGGAAGTAAGAACTGGCAAGAGTCTAAGGTAATGAATCAGAGCTTTCAGAGACTAGCAAAGAGGCAGTTGAGCACTGCAGGGCGGATGGAGTGGGTGAGGATGGGGGCAGGCTCGGCCAGGGCCTCATGCTTCAGAAATGGTGATTAGATCGATAGACTTGGTTTGTGTGGACTAAAAAGGGGGAAGAAAGTATAGCCCGCCCGGCTCTAATGCTTCCTGATGTTGGTGAAGCTAAAGGAAACCCACTGAGTGGAAGGAGGTGTGAAGAAAGGTATGCTCAAAATAAGGAGGTTTGTCCCCTTGTAGGTGAGAATGGAACTGACTAGAGACCTTGAGGTCAGGTGGAAGACCAGACTATCAGCCTTAATGGGGAAATGAGGGCCCTGCAGGAATACGGTGATGAATATGGTAATCTCATGCATTACTGAAAAAAACAAACAAGTCTGTCTTGGAGGAACAGCAACCAGGGTGCTCCTTGGAGACTAAGATGATGAAATCCCATCTCACATACTGTGTGTGTGTTGTCAGAAGGGGCCAGTCCTTGGAAAAAGACCTCATGCTTGGAAAGGTGGTTGGTGAGAGAAGGAGATGAAGAGACTGGAACGGTGGGGCTACAGCGTGGTGGAGATCCTGAGAATGGTGCAGGAGAGGGCAAGGCTCATGGGGTCACAATGAGCCACAGAACAGCAGGAATATGGCAAAGGGAGAAACATAAAGAGGGGGGTGCTCGAGGATTAGGGAGGCGGAGTCAGCAGTGCCTGACCACTGGCTGCGTGTGGGGGACTGTGAATATGTCAATGACTGAGAGTCATTAAGTCATTAAGGATCTGACAAAGACAAATAGAGGTTCCACAGCAGTGTAAGAAAACCCCAAACCCTCAAGCTGTTCTTCAGGTCCAGAAATTTCCTTCTGTCTTTCACAGACAGCAGTGGGTGCCCGGCCAAGCAACTCCAGTGACCTGCTCCTTCCCTGGAGGGGACTTTCCTGGAGGTAAGGATGTTTCTGATTTCTTTTCTGTTGATGACGCTCCCCAAAAGGGCACGGTGGTGCGTCTCCCTTTCATCCGCTCCAGAGAGGGGATGGGGTCCCCATAGGTCAATGTTGAGATGCTCTGATGGCCACATTAGTCCCACAGTTGATGGGAAGGATGCCCCAGTGGCATAGTAGTTAAGGGTGGTTTAACAAACGTGTTTTCTCTTCTCCAGCATCGGAGGGGATGGGATCTTGGATACCCATACTACACTGCCCAGTAAGTAGCAATATAATGAAAACTGTTGTTCTTATTAAGTGCCGTAAAGTCAAGTATGACTCACAGTGACCTTATAAACAACAGATCTGAACCCTATCCTGTCCTGTGCCTTCTTAATCATCTCATATATGTTATCCATTGCTGCAGCCCCTCCGAATCCATCTCATTGAGGGTCTCCCTCTCTTACACTGACCCTCTACCTTTCCAAGCATATCCTTTTCCAAAGAATAGCCTCTCCTAACAATATGTACAAAGTATGTGGGATGAAGCTTCACCATCCTTGTCTCTAAGGAGCATTCAATAGCCAAACAACTCTCTAGTGAGGGCAGACCTTCCTTGTAGAGGAAGGGAGACTCCAAGGAGGGAAGTGAGCCAGCCCTGCAATGGTCCAAAACTTCATGTTCACCCCTGTGCCCCCACAGTGCATGCCCACCTCAGTTCCCGGGGAACCCCTGCTGCCTCTCACCTGTGTTCTCTACCTCTTCCCTTTTTTAAAGACATCCTGAAGAAGTTCAACCCTCGCATCCTTGGATTCTCTACTGGTACCCAGGAGGAGACAGCAGGACTGAACGCGGCCACAGAAGGAGCCAGAGCTCGGTGAGGAGATGGGGGCACAGGACGAAGAGCGGAGGGCGCAGAGCGGAGATCAGGATGGGAGGAGGGAGCCTGGTCGTGTGAGGAGCACTCCGTGCATGCCTGGTCTGATGCAGAGCCTTTCATGTGGGTTTTCTCATGCAGAGCACACAGGCTGTGTCTTATCTGTGCTACACTCATCCATGTGTTAACAATACTCTATCATCGTGTGTACACACAGGCTGTTCATTAATAACACAGCCAACCCATCAGGAAAGTCAACAGCACGTAGAAATCAATGTCCACCCTCACACAACAGTTTCATGGTGAGAAATCGATGTCCACTCTGACGTCACTGGCAGACATCTCTCTTGGCTCCTCCCCCTTCACTGATGCTGGTCCAGCTCTCAGTCAGCAGCCTCTGGTAGTTGGGGACAGTGATTCTCGAAGGAGAGCTGCTTTGGGGGCATCACCTATTGGGTTATACCTTCAGGTGGGGTTTCAGCAGCTGCCTGGGTCTGCACGTAGCTGCAGCCACAGCCCAAAGCACTCTATTCATTCTTCCCACTCCTCTCAGATCCGTTTGCTCAGCAAATGCTGACTTCAGCTTCTCCCAGCCTCTGCTGCTGTCTTTCCTGGCTCTGACTTCTTCTGGGCACAGGGTTCCTACTGCTTTGGCTGCAGTGCCTTCAGATGGATGGATATTCAGTCCCTTCTCCCCATGATTAGTGGGGAGCAGGTGTGTTCATCAGCAAACTATTTCTATGTCCCAAAGGACATAGATAAAGGAGAATTGATGCCTTTGAGCTGTGGTGCTAGAGAAGAATATTGAATATTGACTATGCCATGGACTGCTAGAAGAACAAACAAGATTAACCTGGAGAGGGTGAAACCAGACTGCTCATTGGAGGCAAGGATTCTGAAGCTTCGTCTGACATACTTTAGACATGTAGACATGTTGCAAAGAGGGACCAGCCATTGGAGAGGAATGTCATGCTTGGGAAGGTGGAGGAACAGCACAGGAGAGGAAGACCCTCGATGAGATGGATTGATTCAGTGACTGGGGTAATGGTGGTAGGTGTGTCAGAGACAAAAAGGTTGGCTCAGGATAGAGCAGGATTCAGAGTTGTTGTACATCGGGTTGCTATGAGTTGCAAGTGACTCCTTGGTACATAACAACAAAGGACAATCACCTCCAAGGCCAGAAGTTGGCATTTTTCAGCCTGAGGTACCTTTATCGGCTTCATCACAGGGCACCTCAGTCTTGGTCAGAACTAACCCCAAGTGACCCCTCTTAGTGAGCTTACCCCTCATTCATGGGCCTCAGGTGTGGTCCTGTTCACAGAACTTAGATTGCAAAAGTTCACTCACTCACAGTTCCAGTCCCCGACTCATGTAGTCCTCACACTTTTCTAGGCAGCCACTACTTTAAGGAGACAAATGCTTAGAGGCATCAATTCTCCCTCTGTCATATTTATTCATTGTCAGCTTTCAGATGCATAGCAAATGCTTGAAAAGACCATGGCCTGAATCGGGCACATCTTAGTCTTCACATTGACAGCAGTGTTCCTCAGCAATGTGGAGAGGTCCCTGACAGCAGGCTTGCCCAGTGTAAGACATCTCCTAATCTCTTGACAGTGGATACCAAGGGTGTTGACTGTGGATCCAAGTTGTGATGTTAGAGAAGAGTACTGAATATCCCATGGACTGTCAAAAGAACAAAGAGAGATGTCTTGGAGTAAGAGCAGAGTGTTCCTTAGAGGCAAGCAGTGTGAAACTTCGTGTCACATACTTTAGGATGTTTATAGGAGAGGCTATTTCTTAGGAGGGAGCATATGCCTAGGAATGTAGAGGATGAACAAAAAGAAAGGAAAAGGTTCAACCAGGTGGACTGACACAGTGACTGCAGCTTGAGTTCAAGTACGTCAGAGACGGTGAGGATGGCACAGGAAAGGACAGAGTTCAGACTTTGTTGTTCATAAGGTCACTGTGAATTGTCCTCAGTTCAACGACACCTAACAACAGCAGCAGTGCTTACAGGCGGGCCTCTAAAGGCACCGTGGTTAAAGGCATTCAGCTGCTAACCAAAAGTTTGACAGTTAAAACTCACCAGCTGTTCTTTCAGAGAAAGATGTGGCAGTCTGCTTCCAAAGAGATATACAACTTTGGCAACCCTGTGGGGAAGGTCTATCCTGTCCTACGAGATCGCTGAGTTAGAATCAGTTCCATGGCAGTATGTTTTTGTCAATTTTGCTTCTAGACACTGAGTGTCATTAGCTGTCCAAGGTCCCCCAGCAGGTTCTCTGACGAACCACGACTGGACAAGCCCTGAATGCAGGCCTTCTCTCTAACCACTGTGCCCATACCTCCCCAGAGCTTCAGGACAGGGCACTAGCAGGTGGCTTAGCCAAAGCCTCAGCCCCAGGCACTGTCCCTGAGCTGCCACAGAGGCTGACTGACTCAGTTCCCCCTCTCTGTCCCACTGGTTCAAGCCTTCCCTCTGCACCCTGAGAACTTAGTCCATGACCTCTCATTGCATGTCTGCCTCTCTCCTCCCCACCCATGCGGTAGGACCTCCAAGTCTTTGATCTGAAGAGTTCTTCACTGTGTTTTGACACAGGGAGTTAGTTGTTAGGGCCCCCAACACAGCAGTGGTGGCTGTTTGTTTTCTCTCAGATTTCTGTTGCTGACAACAAGGCAGATAATTAAGGCTGAAACGCCTGACAGAGTTCATTGATTTTCCCGCATGGGACGTGCTGGGTATTTGCTTTGTAGAAGGATTGCTACGCTCAGATCACCAGGGAAACCACAGCAGCTTGGCTCCTCCGTTCCATTGAGAGGCGGGTATGTGGGCCCATCGCTCCATCTCGTGTCTGATCGCGATGTCAGTTCCTCAGCCTCATCAGCAGGAGGAACTTCATTTTTCTGCAAAATTCTGGACTTTGTGGAGCCATTATATCAATACCTAATAACTGTTATTACCGTCACTATGATTATCATCATCACTAACCAGGAGTCAATTTCTCGTTCGAGCCCCTTTCCTTTTCTCTTTTCACTTCTCAGGCTGCTTTTTATTTCCCCTCCTTCTCCCCCGGAGCAGTCAGTGGTAAGGCGAATAGCTGTAATCTGTAGCTTCTTGTTAGTGTCTCTGTGTTGGGGAAAGGAGAGTGAAGCATTGGCTTCAGTAAGGAAGATTGGAGATTGATTCTTGGCCTTTCCTTTGTCTGAATGCTGTTGTCAGTGTTGATGATGATCACTTCAACGAAAGAGAAAAAGAAATATCATAGCTCACAATTAAAATAGCCCCTGGACACAAATCCCAGCTCTAAAATTTGGTGGCTATGTGACTTTGGACAAATCGCTTGGCATCTCTGTTTCCTCATCTATGTTGTTATTACTTGCTGTTCTCTCCAATTCATGGTGACCTTAATGCTGTATAACAGAACAAAACATTGCTTTTCCCCATGTCTTCTTCATGCTTGTTGGTGTTTGAGTCCGTTGTTTCAGCCAGTGTCAGTTGATCTCATCAGGGCTGTTTTTGCTTTCATTGACACCCATAAGACTTTCTTCAGTTCATTTTCAGGAGTAAGACACCAGGCCTTTCTTCCTAGTCTTTCTTAGTCTGGAAGCTCCCCTGAAGTCTGTTCATTGTGGATGGCCCTACTGGAGTTGAAATACTGTTGACATAGCTTCTAGATCATAGCAACACACAATGGTGGTGCTTCTCATCATTCTCAAAACTCTCATTGCCACCAAGCTGAAACTGGCTCATAGCTTACCCTCAGAGGCTGTAAATTACACAAAAGGGGATTGCTCATTTTCTTCCTCAGAGCAGATGGTGGGTTTGAACAGCCTGTCTTTGGGTTAGCTGGTTAGCAGTGTAAATCCTAACCGACTAGGTCATCAGAGCTCCCTTGCTATTGTTGTTGTTATATGTGCCATCGAGTCACTTGCAACTCATGGTAACCCTATGAACAATAGTCCTGAAACCTGCTCTAACCTGTGCCAAACTTATTGTCTCTGACACATCTGCCCTCATTAGCCAGTCATTGAGTCAATCATTGAAGGTCTTCCTCTCTTCTGCTGTACCTCCAACTCTCCCAAGCATGAAGTCCCTTTCCAAGAATTGGTCCTGCCTTGCAACATGCCCATGTATGTCAGATGAAGCTTCAGAATCCTTGCCTCCAAGGAGCAGCCTGGTTTCACCCTCTCCAGGAAGAACCTGTATCGCAGATCAAAGGCATCAATTCTCCTTCTATCACCCTTAGTCATTGTCCAGCTTTCAGACACATAGCAAGTAAATGCAAAGACTATGGCCTGGACCGGATGCACCTTACTTTCCAAACTGACGTTAGCTCCCTACTCATCTATAAATAAGAATAATAAAACCTACCTCTCACAGTTATCAGAAGAATGAAATGAGATAGATAATCCACTGATGAGTTATAAACTGGTTGCTGTTTTTAAACACAGAATACAGACACTCAACAAATAAACAACAGCCAATGATACGTATCTACAGAGAATGTCACACAGAAATGTAAATAAAACTCAAGGACCCAATCAGATGCAGAGAATGTTTATATAATGTTCAAGAAACTGGTGGGTTTCGATGCTCAGTAAAGCATGAATTCAGAGGAGCGTTGTCACTTGTGTTGGGAGCCACCATTGATGTTCATCTTGTTTTATAGCCTTTGGATAGCATGCCTATCCTTATAGAAACATATGGTTTCATTTTATTAAGTTTTTTAAAACCATATTGTATTTAGGTATCATTAATACTTTGGGTAAGTACATTGTGTGGTTTTGTGGGGTTTTTTTCAATTAAAAAACAGTCAATGGAAAGATGTTAGTATAGTAAAAATGTTTGCCTTTATTAATGTTTTTTTCTTTTTTTTTCCCTCCCCTCAACCACTTTCCTTAAATCTATTAATGTTTTGAGTTCAAAGTTTTATTCAATATTTACTCTTCCTTGATTAATCAATAAGCAAGAGATTTCTGAACTCAAGCCCAAGTACAACCCCTATACACAACAGATTCCAGTCTTGCACCGTCTTCACACTTCTCACCATTGTTGCAGTCACTGTGTCAGTGCATCTTGTGGAGGGTCTTCCTCTACCTTTCCACACATGATGTCCTTTTCCAAGGACTGGCCCCTTCTGACAACGTGCCCAGAGTGTGTGAAACCAACATCTCACAAGATTTGCTTCTAGGAAGCATTCTGTCCTTTCCCAAGGACTGGCCTCTTCTGATAACATGCCCAGGGTGTTTGAAATGAAGTCTCACAATCTTTGTTTCTGAGGTCCACTCTCTGGCCATATGTCCTCCAAGGCAGATGTGTCTGGGCTTTGGCAGTCCACAGTATATTCAGTGATCCTTGACAACATCACAGTTCAATGGTATTGTTTTTCTTAAGTCTTACTTATTCATTGTCCAACTTTCACATGCATATGAAGCAACTGAAAATGCCCTGTCTTGAGACAGATGCACTTAGTATTGAAAGTGATAACCTGGGGATATCCCGGTGGCCTAGTGGCAAGAAGCTGCACTGGAATCCCAGAGGCACATGGTTCGAATCCACCAGATTCTCTGCCGAGGAAGGAGGGACAATCTCCTCCTGTACCAGTCAGATCCGATTTCACACACACACACACACACACACAAATAATAAAATAAAAAATTTTTTAAAAAGTGATATCCTTGTTCCTTAGCACTTTCAAGAGATCCTTGGTAGCAAATTTTTCTCATGCGATATATCATTTGATTTCTTGACTGCTGGTACCATAAATGTTGATTGTAGATCCAAATTAAATGTGTCAGGGTTGGATTCTTTCATCATACCTATTTGATCTGTATGCTGAGAGAATCACTCAAGATGCTGGATTATCTGAAGAAGAATGTGGCATCAGAATTGGAGACAGAGGCATCAAGTGTGTTATGCAGATGACACAACCTTGCTTGCAAAGTAAAAGGGTTTTGAAGCACTTACTTGAAGAGGATGAAAAACTATTGCCTTCAGTGTGGATTACACCTCAACATCAAGCAAACAAATATCCTGACAACTAGATCAAGAATTATGATAAATGGAAAAAAGATTCACAGCCCCATGGTGATTATTAAAAAGTACACAAGACTCAAAATTAAACTCCCTGTCCAAAAAGAACTTGTAGCCTATCATAGAAACTAGACAAATAAGAAATAACTCTGAGGGAAAGTCAGCGATGTGTATGGCAACAGTGCAGACTGAAATACTTTGGCACTTAGCCAGTACAATTAAGAGAATGAAAAGTTTAAGTGTGAATTGGGCAGTCTAAATGCAGATGCAGACCTGGAAGGGACCCCAGAAATCATCTAGGCCAACTTTTTTCCCCCCAAAAAATGAAAAAGAAAATATCAGCCCAGCAGGATACAGTGTTTGTGGAAGCCCACACAACAAGTTAGTGGCCAAGCAGAATTGAGAAGCCAGAAGCTGCAGTTCCCAGACCAGGGGTCTCCCACCTGGAGTGAAGGGAGGAAACGGAAATGCAGGAGGCAAGGATAAAGGAAGTTGCAGAGCAATGCTCACAGGGGAAGCAGGCTATTCTCTGAACCTGGTGTATAAAAAGAACAAAGGTAGGAATTAGGGAGTAAGAAAGCATTCCTAACTTACCCTAGGACCCAGGAGGGCTTATCATGATGGATGGTGCCTTGCACCTATTAAAAGGTTTAGTTAGGCATTTCTTTTTCTGGAGCTCTCTGAGGCAACAATCAATAATGATAGTGTGTGGGATACATTCCTAAATGTGTGCCTTCTTTCTTCATGAGAGGCGTGAGCAGAGATGATAGCAGGTGTGCTTGGTTCTGTGTCTCCCTCTTGGTGTGCGTGTAATGTAAAATGCCCATTGCTCACCTGATCTGCTTCTGCAGCAGCTACCATAGGCTGGGATCCCATTCACCTAAGTAACTTCTCACGAACCTATCATTTTTTAAAAAAATTTTTCTTGTAGATATGTGTTGATGTGTTATACATTTGTGAAACCATTACTACAAGCAAGAGCATAAAAATATCCATCACCCCTAAAAGAATCAGCATTCCCCTTTGTACTCCTCTTTCCTGCCCTCGCTATCCCTAACTCTCCCACCCACCCCTCTTGGGCCCTAGACTACTAGATCTGCATTCTGTCACTATAAATTAGTTTGTATTTTCCAGAATTATATATAAATGGAGACATAAATGATGCGGGGCTTTTGTTTTTTGGTGGTTTGTTTTGGTTTTTTTTGTTCTGATTTCTGGTACCCAGCAAAGTTTTTTTAAATTTTATTTTATCCATTTTGTTGTACCTGTTACTGACTCATTCCTCTTTTTTGTTGCTCTTGTTTGCCTAAATTAAAGAGGAATTGAAATGCTTGCTACAGAAGATCAAAGATATAACTACATCTCAACATCAAGAAGACAAAAATCTTTCCACTGGCCCAGTAGGCAACATTATGATAGACGAAGAGATTAAAGTTACCAATTATGTCATCTTGCTTGGATCCACAATCAACATTCTAGGTACCAGCTGTCAAGAAATCAAAAGATGTGTTGTATTGGGTACATCTTCTGTCAAGGACCTCTCTAAGGTGTTAAGGAGCAATGATGGCAGTATAAAGACTAAGGTGTATCTGATTCAAGCCATGTCCTTTTCAATTATCTGTTATGCATCTGAAAGTTAGACAATGATTAAGGATGATAGAAGAAGAATTGATGCCTTCCAGTTGTGGTGTTGGAGAAGAGTGTGGAATATTCCACAGACTACCAAAAGAACAAACAAATATGTCTTGGAGAAAGTGGAACCAGGGGGTTCTTGAGGATATATTTTGGCCATGTTGTTAGTAAGGGCTGGTCCTTGGGTGGGAAAGAATCATGCTTGGAAAGGTGGAGGGTCAGTGAAAGAGAGAAAAACCCCAATGAGATGATTTGACACAGTGACTGTAACAATGGATTCACATCTGTCAGAGATGATGAGAATAGCACAAGATGGGGCAAGGTTCAGCTCTATTCTTTGTAGGGTCTCTATGAGTCATAGTTGACTCAACAGCATCTAATAACAACATTCTATTGACATGTAATATTTCTCACCCAGAAAGTCAAGTAGTATCATTTTTATATATGGCAGACATCTAGAGGATGAAAAGAAAATTCTAGCTGTCACTAAGTCTGGTGACAGCACCCCACCCCCAGGTATAACAGAATGATATGCAGCCTGGTCCTATGCCATCCCTGTGTTGGTTGGGGCTTAGACTGCTATAATCCACAGGAATTCTAATAATTTATTATCAAAAGTAACTTTCCATCTTACCCTGCTGGAACCTGCCCAACAAACAGACTTACCATGACATAAAAGATAGCATGAAGTGCATTGGCTGGGAGTTGAGCCCAGGTCTCCTGCATGGAAGGCAAGAATTCTACCACTGACCTAAACCTGTGTATATTTATTTATTTCCACCAACACTTCTGTTGAAAGGGCAAAAACTAAAACAAAACCCAAAAATCTCATCAACAAATGAATGGATAGAGAAACTGTGGTATATCCACACAATGGAATAGTATGCAGCACTGAAAAACAAGGAACTCACGAAATATTATACAAAATGGGTGACCCTGGAGGACATTATTCTGAGTGAAATATCTCAGTCACAAAAGGACAAATACTATATAATGCCACTCTTATAAAACAGGACTGACATGGGAGTTGGGGGGAAACTAAAAAAAGAAGGGATAATTAATGAAAACTGCATTGAAACAGATGAGGGAAAGAACTGTCTAAAGGAAATATATGATTAGGTATTATTTGCATGACAGCAATCTAGAATAAAAGGTGCATAACAAACTGGACTGGGGGCCAGGGGGAGGGAGGAAATAGTGCAAAGATGAAAGAATCTTTTTAAAGAGAAAAGTGAACTGGGGGCGGTAGTGGGGGAAATGTGCAACAATCAATGAATGGAAATCCAAGTTTCTGTAAACTTTCATTAAAATATCAATTAAAAAGTTTTTCTAAAAAATCTTTTCAATAAGGTAAAGTAGTACAGAATGGTAGAGGAAATTGAAATAACCTCAGAGCAGAATAACCCAGGAATTTTAAAAAGCATCAAATGGAGCCTAGAAGTAAAGATTAAAAGAGTCATTAATCCTGAAAGGGAAAGAGCTGAGGAATAATTTAGGGCTGTGACTTTTTCTTCAAATATACAAAAGGTTATTTTTAAAACAGGCCACAGAATAAGAAACTAACAGATTCAGCTTGTGCTGAAAGAGCCTGGTAAAATAGAAAGGACAACCCCTGATGGGAAGGTTGACTAGGTCTGGCCCAGTGGTCGGACGGGGCCACTTTCTGAAGTGGATTAAATGCAGGAGAGCTGTGACTAGGGCTGTCTCAGTGTGGCGCCAAGACCCCAGCAGCTCTCTAATTATGTCGGAGTTGGGGTTACTTGAAAAAATCACAAACCTTTCAACAGACGGGCCTACAAAATAAATACTACTGCCCATGTGGAACTGGCTCCTCGAAAAAATCAGCCAGATGAGACCAAAGGTGGAGCATCAGACAGCAGCAAAGAAGGGAAACACAGAGCCCAGGGAGGATGTGGGAAGAGTACTGTTACACTGAGGGAATTGCAACTGACGTCATGAAACAAAATGTGTGGAACTTGCTGTCAGGACATTCTGTTCAGTTTGGGGTTTCTCCCCCCCCCCCCCCCAAGTCCTTGTCTTCCTAGGCCACAATCCCACAGACTGAGCCCTTGCTCTGGAGCCAAGTTCTGACTTCCCCTTCTCTTTACCTAGAGATATGCCGGCCCAGGCCCGGGACCTGGTGGAACGAATGAAGAAGAGCCCAGTGAGTACAGGGCCCCAGGACAGCCTTACAAAGGACTGGGTCTCAGATTGACTGGGAAGAGGCTCCCAGCCCTAAAAGAACCCTGCCTGCACCACAGCAATTCCTGCGGTGGGCTTGTTGTTGCTGGGCATCATCACGGCTGTCCTGATGCACGGTGACCTTGTGAACAGCAGGCCTGTCTTTACCCATGAGAAGCAGGCCTCACCTGGATGTCCCAACCTTGCCTGCCTCCTTGACCCAGGCTCCCCCCAACCTCTCCCTGGGGCTGCCTGTCGCGGGGGTGGGGGGGCGCGGGGGAGAGGTGGGGGGAGGAGAAGGGCAGCAGACAGTTGGCAGTTCTTGTGGCCTTGCCCTCTGGCGACTCCTCCTCACTTCACCCCAGAGTTGGCTTGCAGAGCCCTATTATGTAAACGCTGAGTTCTAAAAATAGGCAGCTCATTCCATCCTTCCTCCTTCCAGCTCAGCAAACCCTTGCCCCTTGAAACTTCTCACTCGCACTTTTGGTTAATGCTCTGTGTTTATGCCTTCGAATTCCTCTCCTGGCTGGACTCCTATTATGGTGGTGGCAGGGAAGGAAGCAGGCTGGACCAGACTGCTCTGAGGCCCTCCCTACCACCTCTTACCCCATTTCATCCTCTCCAGATCCAGGTGAAAAGATTGTTTTTGATTTTATTCTGATCTATTTTAAAAGTTTGAAAACATTGTTTTTCCACAAAATATCCTTCCTATTTCCTTCACCCCACCCACCCATCAAATTGTGCAACCTTATGATTAACACCCTACGACCACCCCCTCCTCACCCCTCTATTTCCACCCTCCGCCCCTCCCTTGGATCCTCATACTCATTCTATGATAACGGTTTTATACAATATTTGTCATTGTGGGACTGAGTGAGTTCACGCAGCACAATGCTCTCCAGTCCCTCCCAAGTTAGGTAGGAATTTACAAAATCATTGCTCCTGTTTGCTGCATAGTATTCCATTGTGTGAATTGTTCCACAACTTTTCAATCCATTTGTTTGTGTTTGGACATCTGGGCTGTTTTCATGTTCTTGCAATGGTGAATAACACTGCTATGAACATTGTTGTACAAGTTTCCATTTGAGCCTCAGTTCTCATTTTCTTGGGATATATTCCAAGCAATGGAATAGCCGGGTCATATGGAATTTCTATGGTCAGCTTTTTGAGGAAATGCCAAACTGCCTTCCAGATTGGTTGTACCATTTTACAGTCCCACCAACAATATAAAAGAATTCCTATCTCACCACATCCTCTCTAACATGTATTACTTGCTGTCCTGTTAAACTTTGCCACTGTTACCAGAGTGAGATGTCATCTCATTGTGGTTTTGATTTGCATCTCTTTTAGTGCCAGTGATTTAGAGCATTTCTTCATGTGTCTGTTGGCCATTTAAATATCTTCTTCTGTGAAAACTCTTTCCATGTCTTTTGTACATTTTGTAATTGGTTTGTCAGTCTTTTTCTTGTGGAGGCCCAGAAGTATTCTGTGAACTTTCATTACGAGACTCATGTCTGAGATGGTATTGCCAAATGTTTGTTCCCAGTTGGTAGGTTCCAGGTATACTCCTTTGTGTGTGTGTGTATATGTATGTATGTATATATGTGTGTGTGTATATATTATATATAAGAAAGTTTATAAAGAACTTGGATTTCCATTCGTTCATTGTTGCACATTTTTCTCCCTGTTCCACTTCCCTCCACCCAGTTCCCTTTTTTCATTGGAAAAAGTTCTTTCACTGCTATACAGTCCCCTCCTCTCAGACCACTTTATTATGCAGCTCTTAGTCTGGACTTTTGTCATGCCAATAATATCTAATCGTATGTTACTTTTATACAGTTCTCTCCCTCGTCTATTTCAAGGCCATGCACATTATTTATCTCCTCTTTTCTTATTTTCTCCCCAATGCCATATCAGTCCGATTCTATAACAGAGGCACTATACAGTATTGTCTTTTTGTTACTGAGATATTTCACTCAACATAATGTCCTCCATGGTCGCCTATTTTATATAAGATTTCATGAGTTCTTTCTTTTCAGTGCTGCAAAATACTCCATTGTGTGAATATACCACAGCTTCTCTATCCATTTGTTTGTTGGTGGGTACTTGGTCTGTTTCCAACTCTTTCCTATTGTTAACAAAGCAGCAATAAACATGGGTGTGCATATATCTGCTTGGGTGACCGTTATGGTTTCTTTAGGGTATATTCCCAGTAATGGAATTGCTGGTTTAAATGGTATTTCTATTTCCAATTTCTTGAGACAACGTTATACTGCCTTCCAGAGTGTTTGCACCATTTTACACTCACACCAACAGTGAATAAGGGTTCCAGTTTCTCCACAATCTCACCAGCAATTTTGCTATTCTTACTGGGGTGAGATGATATCTCATAGTTGTTTTGATTTGCATCTCTCTTAGAGCTAGGGATTTTGAACATTTCTTCATGTGTTTGTTGGCCATCTGAATGTCTTCTTTGGTGAAGTGTCTGTTCATATCCTGTGCCCATTTTGCAACTGGGTTGTTCACCTTTATCTTGTTGTGGCACTCGAGTATTCTATAAATACTATATATAAGTCTCTTATCAGACATGTCATTACCAAATATTTTTCCCCCAGTCTGTGGCTTCTCTTTTTACCCTGTTGGAGAAGTTTTTGGATGTGCAAAGGGATTTGATTCTTAGAAGGTCCCGTTCATCTATTTTATCTTCTTCTGGTTGTAGGTTTTTCAGAATGCTTGGAAGACTGTTCAAGTTGTGGATTAGTGCTTTTAGAGTTGCTCCAAGCTTTTTTCTAATGAAGTTATAGTAATTTATTTTACCTCCTCTTTGCCAAATTCGATACCTTTTATTTCCTTCTCTTGTCTTATTGCTATCACTAAGACTTTTAATACAATATTGAATAGGAGAGGTAATAGTGGGTGTCCTTACCTAGTTCCTGTTCTTGAGGAGAATGCCTTTAACTTCTCTCCATTGAGAACAACATTGGTTCTCGGGTTTATGTCTATACTTCTTACAATGTTAAGGAAATTCCCTTTTATTCCTATTTTGTTGAATGTCTTAATCAGGAAAGGGTGTTATATTTTGTCAAAGGCCTTTTCTGCATCAATTGACAGGATCATGTTCTTGTTCTTTGTTTTGTTAATGTGATGAATTATACTGATTGTTTTTCTTATGTTGAACCATCCTTGCATACCTGTTAATTCCACTTAGTCATGGTGTATTATTATTTTTTTTTTTTTATGTATCATTGGATTCTATTGGCCAGGATTTTATTCAGGATTTTTGCATCTATGTTCTTGAGAGATATTAGTCTATAATTTTCTATTTTGGCAGTGTCTTTACTTGGTCTTGGTATCAAGGATCTGTTTGCTTCATAGAATGAGTCTGGGAAAATTCCATCTTTTTCTATTTTCTGAATTGTTTATGTGGAATTGATGACAGTTTTTCTATGAATGTTTAATAAAATTCACTGTAAAACCATCTGGTCCAGGGCTTTTTTTGGCTGTAAGTAATTTTATTACCTTTTCAGTTTCTTCTTTTATAATGGGTCAATTCTGTTTTGTGTCAGTTTAGATAGGGTGTGATTTTCTAGTTATGTGTCCATTTCTTCTAGGTTTTCATATTTGTTTGAGTACAGTTTTTCATAATATTCCATTGTTAACCTTTTTATTTTAGTTGGCTCCATTGTGACATTGCCTGTTTCATCCCTTATTCAGATTATTTGTCTTTTCCTTCTTTTCTTTTGTTAGGTTTGCTAGTGGTTTGTCTATTTCCTTGCCCTTTTTGAAGAACCAACTCCTGGTTTTGTTGATGGTTTCAATTGTTTTTCTATTTTCTGTGTCATTTATTTCTGTCCGAATTGATATAATTTCAGGGGTTTTGGGGGGAGGGTGTCGAGTTTTCTTGCTGTTCTTTTTCAATGTGTAGGAGATGTTGAGTTAGAGAGTCAATGATAATTTTCCCGTCTTTTCATGTGTTTGCTTATTGCTATAAAGTGACCTATAATTACTGCCTTGGCAGTTTCCCAGAGGTTTTGGTAAGTTGTATTATCATTGTCATTTGTTTCAAGAAACTTAATTTCATTTTTTATTTCTTCCAGCACTCACTATGTTCAAGCAAGGTGTTGTTCAGCTTCCAAATGTATGGGGGGGTTTTCCTTCTTTATCCTCTTGTTATTAATTTCAAATTTTGTAGTATTGTGGTCTGAGAAGATGCTTTGTATTATTTCTGTGCTTTTTAATTTATTGATGCTTGCCTG